ATTCACTCAAAAATGGTGCCAAACTGTTGCAAATGTTCCCCTGAAGGTCTTTTTGGGTGAAAAAAAAGTGTTTTTATCTTCGGAAACAGAATTAGCGCTCAACGTCTGAACGTGCGGAAAAACTTTTTTTAAAAAAAGATCCCTAAGCTGCGCGGTCACAATTTCAGCAAAAATCTGACGTTCTGCAATTCACTCAAAAATGGTGCCAAACTGTTGCAAATGTTCCCCTGAAAGGTTTTTCAGTGGAAACAGAAGGGTTTACAGAAGGGTTTTTATCATCGGAAACAGAGTTAGCCCTCGACGTCTGAACTTGCGGAAAAACTTTTTTTTAAAAAAAATCCCTAAGCCGCGCGTTCACAATTTCAGCAAAAATCTGACCTTTTGAAATTCACTCACAAATCGTTTCAAACTGTTCCAAATGTTCACTTGAAAGGTTTTTCGGGAGAAACTGAAGGGTTTTTATCATCGGAAACAGAGTTAGCCCTCTATGTCTGAACTTGCGGAAAAGCTTTTTTTCGAAAAAATCCCTAAGCCACGCAGTCACAATTTCAGCAAAAATCTGACCTTTTGAAATTCATTCAAAAATGGTGCCAAACTGTTGCAAATGTTCCCCTGAAAGGTTTTTCAGTAGAAACAGAAGGGTTTTTATCACCGGAAACAGAATTAGCCCTCGACGTCTGAACTTGCAGAAAAACTTTTTTTAAAAAAAAATTGCTAAAAACTTTTTTTAAAAAAAATCCCTAAGACGCGCGGTCACAGTTTCAGCAAAAATCTGACGTTCTGCAATTCACTCAAAAATGGTGCCAAACTGTTGCAAATGTTCCCCTGAAAGTTTTTTGGGGTGAAAAAAAAGTGTTTTTATCTTCGGAAACAGAGTTAGCCCTCGACGTCTGAACTTGCGGAAAAACTTTTTTTTGAAAAAAACCCTAAGCTGCGCGGTCACAATTTCAGCAAAAATCTGACATTCTGCAATTCACTCAAACATGGTGCCAAACTCTTGCAAATGACCCCTGAAAGGTTTTTCAGTAGAAACAGAAGGGTTTTTATCACCGGAAACAGAATTAGCCCTCGACATCTGAGCTTGCGGAAAAACTTTTTTTCGAAAAAATCCCTAATCCGCGCGGTCACAATTTCAGCAAAAATCTGACGTTCTGCAATTCACTCAAATATGGTGCCAAATTGTTGCAAATGTTGCCCTGAAACGTTTTTCGGTGGAAACAGATCAGTTTTTATCAGCGGAAACAGAACTAGCCCTTGATGTCTGAACTTGCAGAAAAACTTTGTAGGGACTAACTGTGTCTCAGCTTAACAACCGGACATCCACTCCATTCTGCACTTTGTAGAATGGCATTGCTTTTTGACGCCTTAAAAACACAAACTCCAGATCTGGAGGGAATTTGGATTCCAAACTTTTACTTAGAAAGCATTTCTGAGTGTCAAATGTGAACAGCTTGATTCTTCCGATTCTGAGACATATTTGAAATCTAATTCTGGTATCAGACTCTGTTAAGAAAAAAACTTTGGGGATTAAGCACCAAATGTCGATTCTTGTCCCTAAAATATACATAAGTGGCCAAGTTCCAAATGAAAGTAACAATACTTGGAATATGTACAAAGGAGACATTAGTACAACATTTCTTATTGGCTCTGGTATCCTTCCTTTCTGCTACGAAACCCCAAAAAGAGAAAAGGGGAGAGATGTGATAATCTTACTGCTACCAACTAGACTTGTGGAAAGAATAATAACCAGCTTTGTACTCATTTGCTGGTTCAACACAGCTCATTGAAACCATTCCACCAGCTGAACACGAGATTTTTCTGCTATCACACACGACTTTCCTCTGCTTGGAGGCATCTCCCATCTGTTTTCACCTTATTTATAAATATCCTCCTGTTCTGTACATTCTGGTTACCAATTGGTGTTGAGGGTCTATTCATGCTAGGCTGAACTTGTACAACAGCAATGCTTAATATGATCTTCTCGTACTTTTAAAGGAATACTAATGTCTTTAGATATAGAATGTTACCTAATACTTAAAGGGACCCCTGACCATTAGGTTCAGTCATGACCGGCTCTGGGGTTGCAACGCTCATCTCGCTTTATTGGCCGAGGGAGCCGGCATACAGCTTCCAGGTCATGTGGCCAGCATGACTAGGCCGCTTCTGGCGAACCAGAGTAGCGCACGGAAACGCCGTTTACCTTCCCACCGGAGCAGTACCTATTTATCTACTTGCACTTTGACGTGCTTTCGAACTGCTAGGTTGGCAGGAGCAGGGACCGAGCAACGGGAGCTCACCCCATCGCGGGAATTCGAACCGCCAACCTTCTGATCGGCAAGTTCTGGGCTCTGTGGTTTAACCCACAGCACCACCCGCGTCCCACCTAATACTTATGAGCATCCAAATTTTGAAGACACACCATTTCATAGTCACTGTCGTCATCATTGCAGTGTTATTTGTATGCTGCCTTTCAACAACAGCAAAAATTGTGCTCATCACAGCACAAAGAGAACAGTGAATAATTTCAAAATAAACAGTATCAAATAAATAAATAACCTATCCTCGTGATGCTGACACAAAAGCTCTACAAAAGAATGAAAGATCATTATCCCCCCTTCTTTCTTCCCACTCTCTTGCTCTGATTCACCCCCAACCAACCCTCACATTGCCTTTGACAACAGTGTCTCAAACCAAATGTAACTGACCTGTAGAAAGGACAAGGGGGTTTGAACAGTTTCACCTTGGTGTTAAAAATGCCCCTCCCATTGTGGGATGTAAACACAGGAGCAGTCAATGACAACATTCCTAGAGTGTACATGTTAGAACATGGGGAGGGATGTCTGTCCAGCAAGCAGGTAAACTTCCTGGGGACGGACTTCCTCCGCATGTGACCAGAGGTGGGTGTGGCCTCACCTGTGCAGGTAATGACAAAGCACAGGGCAGGCAGCCATCTCTCTCTCTCTGCCATTTTCCTTCGATGAGGAAGCATCTAAAGATGCTCTCTTGGCTCTCAGCCAAGAGAGGAGGAAAGGACTATCTTGCTATAAGATAGATTCTGAATGTATGTAACCTTTTTAAGCTGTCTGCCTTCTGGGATCATATTGTGAACAGAAAGTGAGTAAACTCTTTTATACTTTTATAAAGACTGTGTCGTGTCTTGTATTTTAAGAGGGAACAAAAGGGGAAATTACCAGAGTAATTATTATAGAGGTTCTAGCGAACCTGTGCACACGTTACCGTTGCGAACCTAAAAGGGGAATGTCTATAAACTCTGCTGATATTTTGGGAACTTGTTAGCACAAGTTGGATAAGGATATAATCCCACAATATATCCTCTCCTGCACCCCAGAACATTCCCACACCCATGAGGTTGCTTCAATAATGTGATCTGCAATCTAAAATACGTCAACGAAGTTTTACATCCATGAAGTTCTACAGCGTTTGGAAGATCTTTGCTTCATTTCGTTTACTGATTTGTAGACTGTTCTGGGAAGCTTTGGGGCTAAGGAGTGTCGCGAAAATGCTTTAAATGGAGGGGGGGGGGGACTTCCAGCTTGCCAGCCAAATTAGGCCTGCCACAAGTCTCAATGAAACCGTTGAGGCTGTTTTCCCTAAACAATGTCCACCAGCCCCACATTTGATGTCATATGTGATTCAAGGAGGATGCAAGGCAGGACCAGTTAGCAGTGTGACCTAAAAAGAGAAGGTGTGGCTTGAAAGGATCAGATAGGGAGGGTTGGAGGGCCCCTGACATCCTCCCCGCTGCTGTATAGCAAGGAGAAATATAGCACCATCCCTATACAAGTTATGGTAGAGTAGAGCTGCATAAGTTTGCTTCTTGCACATATATCAGCAGTGTGATAAAGCGACAGACCAAGTGTTCTTTATAGATACAACACCCTTGTGCGGCTTAAAATATAATGGCCATTGCCACTTAATTCTTGAATCCATATTATAGATCAGGATTAAAGTGTTCAGGGGACTTCTTAGCAGTGAACAACGGTGAGCTTGCGAGAGAAGAGAATCTACTGTCCATCTTGTGGCAGGTTCTTAAAACTGCAACACCCATCATTGCTCAAATACAGTAGTTGCCTTATCCTTGTGGGGTAATTGCACTAGGTCAGGGGTGGGTAACTTGTGGGCTGGAGCTGAAGGAAACTGGAGGCCTCCGAAAAAACATCTGGAGAACCACAGGTTAGCAACTTAAGCCTGTTACTCAGCTGCCTGTTTCTGCAACTGCTCCTTGTTTTTCTCCTGAGTTTGTCTGCTCCTCAACAGAAGAGCAATAATGTTATCCATGTGTCAACCCAGGTCAGGAGATCATGGGCTTATAAGGTCTGTACTTAAACCACTGATCAGTCATGGCATCCTTGTGAATCCAAACCCTCCATCACCTGTGTTTATTGCAGGTACATTCAAGAGCATGCTGAACTTATTATATCAAACAAAACATCACGTACAGATCATCTAGTATAATTTACATTACCGAGAATGTGCAAATATCCATGATGCCAATATTCAGTAGGCTGGTTAAAACAACAACTAACCTATACACATATGTTAAAAACCATACACCCACAATCTTGAGAGGGAAGCAGTAGAATGGCTAGTTGCAAAGTTCTTTGATTTAATCACAGCCTCTCTGATTTGTCAATGATTTCAAGAGAGGTCCATCTATTCCAAGACCATGGAAAACAAGAGCAAACTTCTGGATATCTAAATATTCCTGAGTACCACATGGTCTTAACCAGGGGTCATCAAGGTTTATCTTGCCTGGGCTGGATCGGTCCTGTGGAGATCCCTCTGTGGGTCAGATCGTGCACACGTGTGAGCGTGTGCAGACGCGATTTCCAGCACCATGGAAACTGTTAGTTTCTGTGTGTTGCCACTGTGCAGTTGCTTGGAGTCACAAGACTCTGTTTACATTCCAGAGATTCCATACTGTTGGAAGTCTCATGGAAGACAGGAGACGGATGTGATGTTACTGTTCTTTGCAACGCATGGGTGTCCTGATGTCCTCGTCTCCGACAACGGACCACAGTTCACCTCAGGCACTTTTGAGTGATACCTTTTGGGACTGGGCATCTGCCATGCCCTAACGGCACCATTTCATCCATCCAGCAATGGGCAAGCGGAGAGAACGGTGCGCTCGGCAAAAGAGGCACTGGCACGCCTGGACCAGGGAGACTGGCACGAGCGGGTCGCCGAATACTTGTTCGTGCAACACATCACCCCTCATGCGGCCACAGGGTGGAGTCCTGCTGAACTGCTTATGGGCCGCCGCCTCAGATCTCCGCTCGAGCAGCTGCACCCAGACTTTGCCGTGGCTGAACCCCCAGGCTGTGCCAATGCACCATGGTCCTTTCTTCCACGAAACCGGGTCTTTGCCCGGAACTTTGTGGGGGACATTCCTTGGGTGCCAGCCACAGTAGTGGGAGTCACTGGACCTCGCTCATACCAGGTGGCACTCGAAAACGGACATTTGTGGCACTGGCACATAGACCAGCTTAGGCGCAGGGTTGGGGACTTGGACACTACCGCAATGCCCCCAACTGCGCTCGTGGCTCCGGAACAGACACTTACAGATGGCGAGGCTCCACCTACACCTCTCTCACAAACTGCAGGCGTGGAGCTGAACTAAGCAGCTTCAGAGGGTCTGCCAGACTTACCACAGACTCAGACCACTGCTGTGCCTGACATTCCGCCAACTCCACTTGCGGATGTTCCACCCACAGCAGTGGATCCAGGGGACTTGGTTTCAACGCCATCTAGGGTTGCGCCACAGCCTCAGCAAGAATCAGGCAGCCTCCCGGACCTGGGTAGTGCTCCCCGGCGGTCTGGCAGAGTTTCCAAGCGCCCAACTTATTTAAAGGACTACGTTGTTGGACATGTAATACTGTCGGTCTAATGGAAGTAGGTGAAATGTAACCGATATGCTTTTGTGCCTAATTGAACCATTACGTGTAGTGCTGTATATAAGGAAACTATTACTATTGTAATTAACGCCTTATCTCGGTGGGGAGGGGTGTTATGTACTGAAGGTCTCACCCTGGGCTAGCAGGGGATACTGTAGATAGTTCAGGTCCACATATGCAAATAAGGGATCAAAAGTGACGTTCAGTGATTGGATAGTTACAGAAAATGGTTACTGTTGCGTTCTAGTGGAGCTCTATATAAGCAGGCTGGCTGAACCCTTCAGTTCAGTTCTGTTCTGGCCTGTGAATAAACAAGAGCTGTTTGAAGAATCGCTGTGTCGTCTGATATGTTCACCCACAACTTAACATGTTCCTTTGTTTTACAGTTGCTCTCTGCTCTCACAAGGGGGGATGTTTCTTTTCTGTCTGCGTAGTTAGGAATAAATCTCTTAGCCATGTAGCTCATACTGTCTCGGCTCCTTCCCTGCGTGCTGGATACTCTGCATAATGCTTGGAGCCTCATCAAAGGCTCAGGTCATTAATTATCGTCAGAGGAGAGAACGAAGGCCTCGACCGGAAGAGTCGCTCGGTCGAACGCAAATCCGACAGAAACGAGTCCCTGCACCGTGCTGCGCCGGTGTAGCGCAGTGCGCGAGCGGGCAGCTTGGTTTGGGGGCAACTCATGGGCCGGTCAAATGACCTCTGCGGGCTGCTTCTGGCCCATGGGCCTTAGGTTGGTGACCCCTGGTCTTAACCATAGGAGGTTGCTGAGTGGGGCAGAGTTGTTTTATGGTCTCACCCCAGTTCTAACAAATTTAAATTTCCCATTTGAGTTGCAAGCTCAGCAGAGTGTCAGCAGAGAGACCATCTATAAAGCACCAATGTGCAAATTGTGGCAAAGAAAGGGCCAGAGACTGGCAAAGGAAGAGGGCTTTAGATCAGGGATGAGGAATCTGTAGCCCTTCAAATGTAACTGTATTCCAAGTCCCATCAGTCTCAGCCAAAATGGCCACCTGAGAAGGATGATGAGAGATGTAGGGGGTTGTCATCCACCAACATCCTCTCTCTGCTTTATGGTTTAGGACCAGGACATCCCATTTTGAGATACAGGACCTGTAACCTGAGGATTCACTAGCCATTTCCAGTTCAATGTTTCTTTTAAGGCTGATAGCACGAAACTTTGATTAATGTAGTAATCAAATTACTTTGATAGCACGAAACTTTACTGATTACTGATAGCACGAAACTTTGATTAATGTAGTAATCAACCATTTACCTCAGCCCAGTATACATGAAGGGGCATCTCCACCCCATCATTCTGCCCGGACACTGAGGTCCAGTGCTGAGGGCTTTCTGGCGGTTCCCTCACTGCAAGAAGTGAGGTTACAGGGAACCAGGCAGAGGGCCTTCTCAGTAGTGGCACCTGTGGAACGCCCTCCTGTCAGATGCCAAACAGATAAACAACAACATGACCAGAAAGCAGCCCTGTTTAGGGAAGTTTTTAATGTTTAATGTTTTATCATGTTTTTAATATTCTGTTGGGAGCCGTCCAGAGTGGTTGGGGAAACCCAGCCAGATGGGCAGGGCATAAATAATAAATTATTATTATTATCTATCTCAAGTTGCAGCAACACTTTTAGTCAATTAGCTTGTAAGGTGAATGGCAAATGCAATTTCATACCATTGGCCTATATACTCAGTAGCTAGGTATAATTGTGTGCTATGTGCCACTTGTATAATAGAGTTGAGAATATTCTTTTTTTTAACAAAAGGAATTGATGGAGATTTTCTTTTTAAAAACCTATTTGTGAATTACTTGAAAGTGTAGTGAGGTATCCAGCAGAGGGCAACAGCGGATCAGTTTTCTTTGAGATTTCTGGCAGATTAGCTCTTCTGCTTAGATCCGCCTTTTTTTGCTGTTCTGTGACTTGAGCACCACTCAAAGGCCACTTTTCCCTCTCTACTTACATATCGGGTTAGTGCCTCCTAACAAAATACACAAAACATTAAGATGAAAGAAGCTACTGGCCCAGATAAGAGGCAGACAAGCGCCCCAGATCTTAAGTTAAGACTGGGTTTCACTGTAAATCATGCATTTTAAAGTCCTTAATGACCGATCAAAAGCTATTTTCACAGACACTGAACAGAAGTACAATTCCATTAGTTTATTTCCATATTGTCACAAACTTAAGGGTGGTAGCAGCAATGTTTTCTCCACCCCCTTAAGTAAAGAGGCCTGTTGGTGGTAGGGATGGGAGAATATGTCAATTTTGGTTTCTCTCAGTTGCTCATTTTTCTGTTCTTAAGCTCAGCTCTCCAAAATCTCCACACCAGTTGACATTTTATAAAAGTCCTCATAAAAATTAATCAGTGTTTTAGTGTGCATTTACCCTAATATTCACATTTTTGCAAAGCAATTTCCCCTTAGGCAACGTGTTGTGTATAAATTTTTCACAAATATATGCATTTATAGGCACAGTTTATGCTAGTACTGTATATGCATTTAGGTACCATAGCTGTCAACACTTTCCTTTTTTTAAGGGAAATTCCCTTATTCCGAATAGGATTCCTCATAAGAAAAGGGAAAAGTTGACAGCTATGTTAGGTACACATTATTTTGCTGGAGGTAATCCCTTTTTAGAGGTAGACCCTTTGGGGCTTATTCCTAGGCAAGTGTGTATCAGATTGTGCTATTAATGTATATTTATTCTGAAGTCATTAGTTTAGAAATTGCAGCTACTGCTAGATTTTGTTTGCTCAGTTGGGAGGCTTGTTGGCCTCTTAACATGAATTTAATTGCATCGTAATTTTTTATATCACACCCCTTAATATTAGAAGAATCTGAAATATATGAATCATTCTTCATGCTAAAAATGGAATTGTGATGCCCCTTTGTTCAGTCCAATAGGTTGCAGTGACACTATCACACTCTTGGGAAAATATTGCCAGACAGGCAGGCTTCCCCTTCTTGTGCAGTGATAGATCTTTGTCACAGACTTTCTTAAGAGGCAACCCTGCTAAATCAGCTTTTATTTAATGGCCATTTCACAAAACTGTTTAAAATCAAATAAAACATACAAGCTATGAGAAATGGGGGGAAATAAAGACTCAAAGGTGTGTTCGTTCTATATTTCATGAACATTTATTTACCATATGAAGCCAAGCAATTTGATATTGTTAATAATGATGATGATAATAATAATAATAATAATAATAATAATAATAACTTCAACACCCATGACAGCAACAACCACCATACCAAAAATGTTTTGTAGCTCTGAACACTTACATTCTGCTAATCCATAACACCAGTGAGCTGTTCTTTTAATTAACTTTTTGGGGACACGTGTAGCCCATTTAATTATATATTTTGTCTTTGAACTACTTGGAAAAAAATGTTGGTATACAATCATTCTTTGTACCGTCCGTTGCTGGCAGGAGCTTGTCTTGACATATGCCTCCTTCGTCTTGAGCTTTAGACTTTGTTTTGATATTTTCTCTCCTCTCACACATCAGTATAATACAATGGCCAAGGAACCAGGAGTAATTAAATTAAATCAGGCATGAGATTCTTCAATGGAAGCAATAGAGTCTTCAAAGCTATCACAGTTCCCCAAAATGACCTTTTAAAAAAGAGGGGGCATAAGTCCATGAAAACGTATACTGAATTGTCCTAAATATTCCCAATATCATCAAGTATTAATTATGTTTGGGAAAATCTATCTCCCAATCGACTGAGGCAGAGAAGCAGGAGCCACATAGTACAATGTTACCTGTTTGTTCCTCCTTGGATATTTGGTCTAGAAGTATTAGACATGTAAAATCAATGGTAGTAATCTTATGTGGTAATCCTCTTACTGTGTCAACACTGACTGCCTGGGATATATTTGGAAATCCCTTAACCATTCAGTCTTGCTACTTACTTCCTTTATATGTAATCAAAATTCGGTCCCTGTCCCTGGAATGAAGTCAGGGCATGAAGTTCAACTGTTGCTTCATCTTAATAATGATCATCAAAATAGGAAAACTCTAAATGGCTTATCTAAGGTAAAAATGTAAAGGACCCCTAGATGGTTAAGTCCAGTCAAAGGCGACTATGGGATTGCGGCACTCATCTCGCTTTCAGGCTGAGGGAGCTGATGTTTGTCCACAGACAGCTTTCTGGGTCATGTGGCCAGGATGACTAAACCGCTTTTGGTGCAACAGAACACTGTGGTGGAAACCAGAGCGCCATTTACCTTCCTGCCGCAGTGGTACCTATTTATCTACTTGCACTGGTGTGCTTTTGAACTGCTATGTTGGCAGGAACTTGGACAGAGCAACGGGAGCTCACTCTGTCATGGGGATTGGAACTGTCAACCTTCTGATCAGCAAGCCTGAGAGGCTCAGTGGTTTAGACCACAGCGCCTCCTGCATCTCTACCATGGATTATCTAACTCTATGCTGAATCACATATCCTCAGCGGTATTTTCTGCTGAATAAGAAACATACCTGATGAGCCACAAGCCTCCCGTCTATTTGATCTTGTTCAAGTGAGACCAGCTTTTTGGTTTGTACACTTCTGTGGATCTCTCAACCCTTGCTTTGCAGCTTTTTGAATTATGAGGGAAAGGACCTTTGGAGGGCCAGAATAAGAGGAATTAGCTTTCCTTCCTGGTCCATCACGACAGGTAAGAGGGTCCCCAACTGGCAGTGGTCCTAGGGTGGGAGCTGTGTCCCTCTCTCTCCCTAAAAAGGAGGATGTCATCTTCTAAAGTTGAGCCCTATTATTTCTCAAAAAGTCTGTTTGGTAGTCGCAACTGCTGAAATGTTATAATCCAGGGAACAATTTGTACAGGGATGATCCCCCCAAACATCACACACCTCAAATCATCATTATTTTACTCTCAAAACATGATTTGACTACAAGCCGCCTTCCACCCACATGTTGACCAGAACATCTATGCCAGTGGTTGATATGATAATTTTACTTGATAAAGAATGTCACAGTGTAAGTCAATGTGGAGCCTGACTTTTCATGAGCTCATCTTCATGGTATGTTACCATCCATGGTATGAAACATATCCTCTTCAGCCAAGGTTGCATGTGCTTCCTGGGAACAAAAATGTGAACATAGTCCTCAGATAACCACACTTCTAGTTACAGGTAGGTAGCCATGTTGGTTTGCCATAGTCGAAACAAAATAAAAAAATTCCTTCCAGTTGGTCTCTAAGGTGCTACTGGAAGGATTTGTTTTGTTTTGTTTAGATAACCACACGTCCTTAAGGATTGTGCTTGAACCTCTTTGGAGATGCAATTCTTCATGGTGCTGTAACAAAATGGGGAAGGCTCCTGAAATTGCTCACTGCTGTATGGCACCTGTGGCTGGCTCATCTGACTCCTTCAGAGCCTTCTCTTGCTGGAACAACTGCCCTGTCAAAAACAAAATATATATAACTGCCATTCATCTTTCTAAGTTATACAGGAGAGTGTCTTGCCATAAAGCTTTCAGATGTTGGTAGAAGCAGATGTTGGTAGAAAGAGGAACATTCTGTCAACTAACATGCAGTCTAGGACAGATGATTTCTGACTGATAATTTTCCCTTCAAGTAGTTGAAATCATGTTTGCATTCTTGTCACTCAGAGCAAATGACACTGGTCTTTGAAAAATACAATATTTATCTGCTTATTTTCTTGCTAGGGCTAGGGTGCAGGAAATGTCTCTTCAAATCTTCTTCCATCTTGGCTCCAAGAATCTTTTCATCCTTTGAGAGGAAAGATGGGATGTAAATATAAAAATGGAGCAAATGACTAAATAACCAATTCTTCTGAATTTTTGCACTTTCAAATGCAGAGCTGATTTTAAATGACGGGTGTTAGGTTGGTTGAAGGTTCATTGGCTGATGTTTTTGAGCCGTTAAATTGCCTTTGGGACTGACTAACACGTTCAAGAGAGGATGGTCAGTTACAATAAAGGGTCTACTTCAAAGCCCACCAAGAACTTGGTGAAATTAATGATTTCATCCCAGCACCATGCTTCTTAAGTCTAGCTCACTGTGTTCTGGAGAGGATGAAACCATTATTACCTGAAGTCACATCCACACAATACATTTAAAGCACTCTTATACCACTTTAATACACATCCCAAAGAATTCTCAGAACAGTGCTCCTCACAGAGCTATGATTCCCAGCACCCTTTACAAAATACAGGTTCCCCAAAGAACTACAGGTGAGGCACTCAAACTATATCCTTGTTCTTCCTGTGTGTGGCAATTATTCTGTCCGTGATGTTTCTTCCTGTCTTTATAAAACGTTATGTCTATCTTTTCCCGGTTGTTGCTGTTCTCCAGGCACAGGAAAACTTGGCCCTCCAGATGTTTTGAGACTACAATTCTACATCCTTGACCACTGATCCTGTTAGCTAGGGATGATGGGAGTTGTAGCCCCAAAACATCTGGAGGGCCAAGTTTGCCTATGCCTGCTGTTCTGCATCATGCATTGGGTGGAGCTAATATCCCATTGTTGTTTCAGAAATTTCTCCATCGCTCTGTCCGAAATAAAATAACTATTCATAAAAGATTCATAACCTGGCAGGGATATGTCAGTAACTGTTGGTACATAAAGAGAAGCATATTCTGCCAGGCATAACCTTGCTATAAAATAATGGGGTGGGCCTGTTTAAAGACACACTGTAGAGCCCAGTTGGATAGATGTGTCTAAAACAGGATGGGTAAAAATTAAGCAGGCAGAACTTGCTCATTTCAGGGGGCAAGATGACAGTGTAAGAATTGCAACAAGATCACTGCACCTTTAGTTTAATTCAGTATTTCAGCCAGCCAGCTAATTCATCCCATTAAAGTTTTCAGTTTTTCTTTTCTAGCTGACATTCAACATTCTGTGACTACTGAGCATCAGTGGAATAAGCTTTATGGCTCTTTAGTCATACTTGGGTTGTTTCTTCTTCTTCTTCTTCTTCTTCTTCTTCTTCTTCTTCTTCTTCTTCTTCTTCTTCTTCTCCTCCTCCTCCTCCTCCTCCTCCTCCTCCTCCTCCTCCTCCTCCTCCTCCTCCTCCTCCTCCTCTTGGAGTTCTACTCAAGATGCTGAGATCTCCCTCTTTTTTCCTCTGGGACTCTGCTTTGGTTCCAGTCCTGTTGGCACAAACTTCTCGCTATTAGAGGGAGTGATGCTTGGCGCACCCCAGAGAATGGCCATTGTTAAGTGGCGTAAGCATTACTGTTTAAAGCACAAAACACTAGGAGGTTCTCCTGAGAAGTGCTATTGAAATACACAAGAATGGCACAAAGCCACAGTTGCAATGAGAGCACAATTTCAATGAGATTTGCAAAGGGCAGTATCCAGGTTGAGGCTGAAAGCTGATTTTTTTGCTTTGATCTTACCCCTGTTCAGTGGGACTTACTTCCAGGTAATAATCACGCAGAGGATCAAGCTATAAAAACTGTCCCATTGGATTTAGTGGAGTTGCTTTCTCCCAAGTACATATATGCAGAATTACAGCTCTAGTCTCTGTGAGGTCCAAATCTGACTAACATTTCCATAGCTGTAATTATCTGGTAACAGTCTGTGTGACTGTCAGTATATAACTGACATGTTAGCACCAACGTCCTCCAGGGGATATTTTGCAAAGAAAGGGTGAGATGTCAGTTTCAAAGCCTGGTAAAATATGGTTGAAAAACTATGCTTGTCTGGTAGCAACTAAACAGTTTCTGTTTCATGTGTGCAAAATGATTCCTGCAAGGGAAGATCACACCAGCCGCAAATGGATATAAATGCCAGCTTTCAGTTTTGGTTTCTTTCAGTTTTTCATTTTCCCAATCTTAATTCAGTTCTCAACATTTCCACGTCAGCTTGTGAATTGTGTTTTGAAGTCCTCGTGAAAATTCATTTGCCTTTTAGTGCAAATTTTTCCTAAGGTACACATTATTGCAATTTTGCCTAATATACACATTTTTGCAAAGCAATTCCCATTAATAGAATGCATCGTTGCACTTTATTTTAACTAATATATGCATTCTCATACACATTTACCCTAGTATTTGCATTTTGTACACATTGCTTGGCTGGAGAACAACACCGCAAAATTCAGAGAAGTGTGAATTTTGACGGTGGCTGTGTTTTGATTTGTGTGAATTAGGCAGATGTAGTTTTGAATTGAACTGAATCCCTCCTCCATCCCTACTTATAAATCATCCCTTAAAGAACTCATCTGCACCCTCTACCTTTTCCATCCACTCGTGTGTTTACGTAGGTCTGCTAATACAGCATTTCCCTCTCCTTTAATTTATGTGAGCTGCTTTGGGAGCTTATGATGGCCTGAAAAGTGGAGGGAAAAATACAGCAAATAAATAAATGTTGATGGCTTCAAGGCTCCTGCTCTCCCTCCATATGGCTCTATATATTTAAAATAGGACTTTGACTGGGCATTTCTTCAAATAGAGGATTCCTTCAATTGTAAGCCTGTCCTCTATATGAGGCTATAGCTAGATTTAGTCCCACTCTGAGAAAACCCATGGACATGATGAAATTAGATTTATTGATTTCACTGAGACTCCTCTAACTTAGCTACATATAACTGCTGGCTGTCTTAACTGCCACTCATATTTTTCCATCTAATTATCTCTGATAATGATGCTGTATCACCAAGGCCTGTAGTATCCAGGGAAAGTTGTAGCATTTAACTTCTTCCCTACTGCTATGCTGAGGAAAATAACTCCTCTGGAGCTGGTATTTGATTTTTTTATTATTAAATTTTTATTGGAATTTTATTTACAACATAACATACCCCCCCAATACACAATCCACCCTCATTAAACATGAACATAACATACAGTGAGCATAACATACAACAATACAAACAACAAAATAAAAGACTTCCTTTATCTTGTATCTAGCCTCCTTATTTACTTCTTATAAACTGTTTCCTTTATGAATAAATATTAAGATTTTTCTAATTATAACTTAAATATCCACAAAGTCTCCTGCATGGAGCTGGTATTTGAATGGTGAGAAGAATCCTTCATGGCCCCCCAAAGGCAGGCTCCTTCCCTTGCAGGACAGGCTCCAATGTGAAATGCACTTTTTAAAAAACATTAACAAATAATCAAGTTTATTTTAAAGGCATGAACAAGCTTATGGTTTCAGTTAATTTTTCTTGGCAGTTTCTTAATCTTAGTTTCTTTACTGTCCTATACATACCTAACAACTTCAAACTCATTATCCCAACTATCTATCTGACTCCACCTAACAGTTCCTCTCACAATCTCACAACACAACTTGACCAACCCGCAGACTTATCTTCCCTCTTCCTTTTCCAACTCCCAACTGACTTCCACTCAACTCCCACTCTAACTCTAACTCCTCCCCTTCGGTTCCCACTGGCCAATCACATCACACTCATTTAACCCTTTCCTTATGACCCACCTAGGAGGCAAACGCCACATACCTCCCCCCGTAAGAAGATTGACTCAGGAGGGATAACTTAACCTAGTTATTCTCCTGATCAATCAGCATTACATACCTAATGCAAATAAACATTTACTAACCTGTTATTACACCCTTCACATCCCACATAACATTGGCACATCAATTACTTTTTTCTGGTAAAATATACACTCATACAAAAATCTGTTACATCTTAGGTATTCAGTTAACTACAGTGGTGCCCCGCAAGACGAATGCCTCGCAAGACGGAAAACCCGCTAGACGAAAGGGTTTTCCGTTTTGGAGGTGCTTCGCAAAACGAATTTCCTATGGGCTTGCTTCGCAAGACGAAAATGTCTTGCGAGTTCCTGCGGGGTTTTTTTCCTCTCCCCCCTTTTTCCCAAGCCGCTAAGCCGCTTAACAGCTGATCCGCTAAGCCACTTAACAGCTGATCGCTAAGCCGCTTATCAGCTGATCCGCTAAGCCGCTTAACAGCTGATCCGTTAAGCCGCTTAACAGCTGATCCGTTAAGCCGCTTATCAGCTGATCCGCTAAGCCGCTAAGCCGCTTATCAGCTGATCCGCTAAGCCCGCTAAGCCGCTAATAGCGCTAATCCGCTAAATTGCTAATGGGCTTGCTTCGCAAGACGAAAAAACTGCAAGACGAAGAGACTCGCGGAACGGATTCTTTTCGTCTTGCGAGGCACCACTGTATGTGAAATGCACTTTGATCACCGGAGCTTCAGACTCTATGTACACCATACATTAATCACATAACTTCCCCCCAAAGAATCCCAGAAACTGTAGTTCACGAAGGGTGCTGGGAATTGTAGCTCTGTGAGGAGTAAATTCCCACAATTCTTGGTGGGAAGTGGTGTGCTTGAAATACGCTTTCAACATGTGATGTAGTGTACTACTACCTCATGTATTTGAGGAAAAGTCAATTATTTGGGCTGTTCTGGAAAGAAATAGTTATAAGAAAGAACAAGAAAGCCTGGCTTACATGTGGTCTCAATTTCGCACACCCCCTCTTGCTGCCCCAATTTTTCCCTCCTTTTTTTTGTGTGTGTATGTGCGTTGGATAACCTCAACATTGCCCTTTGCAAAAAAAGGTCATCAGATAAACACCAACACTAGGCTTTTCTCACAAACCCAACACCAACACTTGCCTTAGGGTACTTTAATATAGCATGGGAAGTTAAATTAGAAGCATATATTTGATAATAGCACCTTGATGTGGAGCCTTCAAAAGGTTTCTGCCCTCATCGAGGGATTAAGGGCCTAGCTTAGCAATCAACAAAAGCCTCTGTGGAAGAGTGAGACTAAAACCAGCATTTTCCTCTGCTCAATTTTTTTTTTTTTTAAATGCTCCCCAAATTCTCCTCAGTGATTTCCTCTGTGAGTTTGTTGGGGAATATACGCTGAATATTTAATGAAAAAATTAGCTGTGAAGATCTGACTGCAAGGTTTTCTACGAACAAGAGGCTTCTGTCTGTGCTGACTCCTGGATACCGTAGTAATACTTTTCTGCTGATGTATTCCCCAATGTGCCTTTTAAAATTTCTCTGCTTTTGTTTTTACTGCTCTTAAAAGCTGCCTTGGAAAATTCCCATGAAAAGCAGGGTAAAAACGGGGGGGGGGGGAGTAAAAATGTTGGACAACAATGGTACTTCCCATCATATCTGACATGGGCATAACCCCGTTTCTCAATTTTCTTTCCCATTGGCTAACCAATGTTGTGTGTCCACAAGGCCAAGGAGAATAGAAATGTTTTGAGGAGGCAATGGAAGCTCATCAGTGAGGTATAATATACCCTCCAACATTTCTCTGATGAAGATTGTTGTTGTTTAGTCGTTTAGTCGTGTCCGACTCTTCGTGACCCCATGGACCAGAGCAAGCCAGGCACTCCTGTCTTCCACTGCCTCCCGCAGTTTGGTCAAACTCATGCTGGTAGCTTCGAGAACACTGTCCAACCATCTCGTCCTCTGTCGTCCCCTTCTCCTTGTGCCCTCCATCTTTCCCAGCATCAGCGTCTTTTCCAGGGAGTCTTCTCTTCTCATGAGTTGGCCAAAGTCTTGGAGCCTCAGCTTCACGATCTGTCCTTCCAGTGAGCACTCAGGGCTGATTTCCTTAAGAATGGATAGGTTTGATCTTCTTGCAGGCCATGGGACTCTCAAGAGTCTCCTCCAGCACCATAATTCAAAAGCATCCATTCTTCGGCGATCAGCCTTCTTTATGGTCCAGCTTTCACTTCCATACATCACTACTGGGAAAACCATAGCTTTTACTATACGGACCTTTGTTGGCAAGGTGATGTCTCTGCTTTTTAAGATGCTGTCTAGGTTTGTCATTGCTTTTCTACCAAGAAGCAGGCATCTTTTAATTTCGTGGCTGCTGTCACCATCTGCAGTGATCATGGAGCCCAAGAAAGTAAAATCTCTCACTGCCTCCATTTCTTCCCCTTCTATTTGCCAGGAGGTGATGGGACCAGTGGCCATGATCTTCGTTTTTTGATGTTGAGCTTCAGACCATATTTTACGCTCTCCTCTTTCACACTCAATAAAAGGTTCTTTAATTCCTCCTCACTTTCTGCCATCAAGGTTGTGTCATCTGCATATCTGAGGTTGTTGATATTTCTTCCGGCAATCTTAATTCCAGCTAGGGATTCATCCAGCCCAGCCTTTCGTATGATGAATTCTGCATATGAGTTAAATAAGCAGGGAGGCAATATATAGCCTTGTCGTACTCCTTTCCCAGTTTTGATGAAGATAGGGACGTCCTATTCCATGATAGTAGTAATAATAATTTTATCATCTCTACCCCGCCCATCTGACGTGGTTGCCTCAGCCACTCTGGGCAGCTTCCAACATATATAAAAACACAATAAAACATTTTTAAAAACTTCCCTATACAGGGCTGCCTTCAGACGTCTTCTAAAGGTTCTTTAGTTGCTTACCTCCTTGGCTTGGTGGTTGCATAACTCCATACCCTCCAACATTTCTCCGATGAAAACAGGGACATCCTAAGGGAAAGCGGGATCAAATCAGAAACCGGGACTGCTTCTCTAAATCTGGGACTGTCTCTGGAAAGTAGGGACACTTGGAGGGTCTGGTATCTTCCTGGGCTGTGATGGGAAGCAAATTCCATAACTGGAACACCATTACTTAGAAAGCACTATCTCCCATTCCCACACAATGAGCAACACTTGTGAGGGGTGGGGATGGACAAAAAAAAAGCTTCATGCTGATGGTCATCACCTGAAGGAAAGAGACCAGTTTTTGTGACCTCATGTTGCTACTGCCAGCCTGAAGGAAGGATGTTGGCCATTGTGACCTCATGCTAATGCTGCCCACTTGAAGGAGGGAGACCAGCTACTGTGACCCCACTCTGATGTTGCCAGGATAAAGGAGAGCAAGCAGCCATTGTGACATATGCTGATGATGGCTGCCTGAAGGGGAAAGCGACTGATAATTGTGACCTCATGGTGATCCTGCCTGCTTGACTAACCCATGTCTCCTTTTGCTGATGTTGTCCCCTCCGCCCAAAGTCACTTTAATGTATTGCCAACCACTTTTTATAAGGAAGTCACTCTTTGCATCCTGGAACAAACAGGGGGTGATTAACCTCCTAGCTAACCTTCCCATCCTCTGAAACGCAAGTGTCACATCTCATCTGGCAGGCAGGTAAGGCCACACAATCCATCAAGGCTTTCCAGAGGATGAGATGACTGACCTCTAACATAAGGTTACCAGATTTTTTTCAAAGAATCTGGGGACACTTTTCTTTTTTAAGAGAAAAAAAAAGTTATTTAAAAAAGTTTTTTTTAAAAAAAAAGTAATATCTTCCCTTCTGTAGTCTCCTCTGGAGCGCTAGCCGCCGTGGAGTGGGCTCAGTCCTTGCCCTCCTAGTGCTCTCCTACTTCTCCTCCTCTGCGGCGGTGGCAGCGGCGCAGCAAGGTTGGCACTTCCCTCTTTTTTCTCCTTCCTCTTTCTCTCTCTTCCTTCTCCTTTCCTCCCTGCATCGGCTCCAGGGTTTTCCTGGCCCCGGACCGCCACTGGGCAGTTGGCCGGGTGGCCAGGCGCTCTCACTCCTGACTTGATTTGGGTTGCAGGGGGTGGTGGTCAGCGATTCCCCCAGTTGATGCGCTGGGTGTCCCCGGTTCCCCCTTGGCAGGGTCAGTGACAGCGGCAGCCTCAGCAGCCTGGAGCCAGCATGGTAGCACAGTTGGCTCTGGCTGGCTTCAGGAGCTGCTCGCTGCTGTGGTGCCCACCATTTTGCCTCGCCGGAAGTCCCCATATGATGTGTCTTGTGCCGTTGAACCAATCACACAACATTCATTCCCTACTAATAAATCTACAACACTTAAAATATAAATCCGGGGACATTAAATGAAATCCGGGGACATTCCAGGGACGGATTATGTCCAGGGATAGATTTGTAAATCTGGGGACTGTCCCCGGGAAACAGGGATGTCTGGTAACCATACTCTAACATCTGCTGGCTGCCAACGAAAGCATCTTTCTGCATTATGTCCACTTCTGTCTGCTGCCAGTCATTTCTCTAGTAAGCTGGGAGGCAGTGAAGAGTCAGCAGGCATCACTCAACATTTGGAAATGAGAAAGCTCCCCAGAGAGGCAGCCAAGAAGACTATAGCTCTTCTCATAAAGAAGAATCAATAAGCAAAACTAAGTAACAACCACCTCGCGGCAAACTAACACCCATACAATAATGAAAATGTTACCTGTAGCACTCCAAGAAACCAGAACTCATCCTCTAGACTTCATGATTGGGGGCGATCCAGGTTTAAGCATACAGATCAGATGTCACCATGTCTCACTTGATTACCTTAAACTTAATCAAAACAACAATTAGAATTGTGAGCAGAAGCTGCATTGCATTTTTACGCACCACCAAATTAGTCCAGGGAATTTTGTGCATAGGTCTTGACAGCAGAAGCCCTGCACAAGGATTTCTGCTCGCACAAGAGGGTTTCCCCCCGTCCTCTGCCTTATGCACCCCCTTAAAACAGCACATGGGGAGAAGAGTGGTGGAACTATTAGAAGAGTGCAGTGTCGGATTCCTCCCACTATATATTTAGATAAAAGTGGTACAGTACTAACAATGAAACATCACCAGCAACAAAAGAATTCAAAACCAAATTCAGGAGTTTCATCTTCAATGTCTGAGAAATTTCAAGGGAATCCAAAAAAGTTTTGATGTGATCCACAAAGTGTCTAGGTGCTTTTAAAAAACCCCATAGTTTAAATTTTTCAGTGTTTTCAGAGCAAATGGATGTAGATTTTATCAACACTGAGTGCCCCTTGAACATTGCTTTGAAGTTGCCACCTTACTGCTGTAAAACAGTGATTGGAAACCTGCAGCATGATAGATGTCTTTGAACTACAGTTCCCATCATCCCTGAACATCGGCCACACTAACTGGAGCTGTAAAACACCTTTCCTCCTGAATGAATTGCAGGCAGTACATTTTCTGGAAGCACTGACTTTTGTAGGCTTGGTTTGATTATACCATGTGTTAAATTATTCAAGTTTTCATCCCACCCTCAAAATACAATACAACACTTTAAAAATGGATACAGTCCATTCTCCCACAAGGGTCTGCCATCGCATTCCCCCACATCATTCTGCTGCATAGATATATCTCAGCTTGTTCAGTTGTCTTTGACCCCCTTAGAATCTTGTGCTACTCTTTGCAAGACAATAAACAGGCTACGTACTTAGCAGGAAAGTCATTGTCCAAGGATGGATCCTTATGTAGTGAAAACAGAACCATCCATGAACAAGAGGGAGGTAACAGCAGGATTGGGGCAACCCCAAAGCTTGCAGAAGTGCAAACCTGGAGGGAGGGGACCCAAGGGAGGGAACCCCCGGAATGGCCCAATGTTCAGGGGTCATGAAAAGCTAACCACTTTTTTTAATGTATCAGATTTTTTACTTTACAGCAGATGAAACAATAATTATGAATGTCAAGCACTGGTTAGTGGTCATTATTTCTCTTGATTCCACCAAATAGTAAATATAACATGCAATGAATTGTGCATATATTTATTTTTACAGTTTTTAGAGGGGCTACCTTTCACCTCATTTTATTAATAACTTAGAGGGGAGGTGGGGTGGGAAGGAAACAGCAATAAATGTACATTCTCTCCCAAGTATCCATGCAAAGAGAAAGAAATCACTTCCAGATGCCTCCATGGGACATAGTAGCTTAACAGTTCTTTAGGTGTCACTTAAAAGTTTTTATCACTTGCCAGAGGGTACGCTGCAAAATTCCTAAAAGGCAATTATAGCAGTAAGATATGTAATAAATGTCTCTTGGGTGTATAAAGATGGTGTGAGAAACAAGCGTCCAGAAAATCAAAGGACAGCCTTAGTACTGCACCTTTTAAATACCACTCTGCAACTTCCTCATCTTAACTGCATGCACTTTTGGAGATATACACGTGATCCCTCTTTTATTTAGCATTTTGCTTGTTTGGAATTATACTAACCCATCTTCTCTCCCCCTTCTCTGCTTAAAACAGCTTTAAAACTCATATAAAATACTGGCCAGGAAGGTAAAGGTAAAGGACCCCTGAACGGTTAAGTCCAGTCAAAGGCGACTATGGGGTTGCGGCGCTCATCTCACTTTCAGGCTGAGGGAGCTGGCGTTTGTCCACAGACAGCTTTCTGGGGCATGTGGCCAGCATAACTAAACTGTTTCTGGTTCAATGGAACACCGTGACGGAAACCAGAGCGCACAGAAATGGCATTTACCTTTCCGCTGCACCAGTACCTATTTGTCTACTTACACTGGCATGATTTTGAATTGCTAGGTTGGCAGAAGCTGGGACAGAGCAACGGGAGCTAATCTTGTCGTGGGGATTTGAACCACCGACCTTCTGATCAGCAAGCCCAAGAGGCTGAGTGGTTTAGACCACAGCGCCACTCGCATCCCTGGCTGGGTTAACGTCCACTATCTATACTCGGTTACAATGAGCTAGTTCCATAAATGGCAATGGCAAATAGCATGCACAGCACTATGTGTGGGTTTGGTGGAGCTGTAGCATATGGCTGTTGTTGGGTCTTAGGAGAGAGTGGTTGAAATTCATTATAAGCAGAGATCCATATGTATGCTTGTCCATGACAGAAACCAGAGTGAACAGAAACACCATTTACCTTCCCGCCACAGTGGTACCTATTTATCTACTTGCACTGGTGTGCTTTCGAACTGCTAGGTTGGCAGGAGCTGGGACCGAGCAACGGGAGCTCACCCCGTTGCGGGGATTCGAACCGCTGATCTTCTGATCAGCAACCCCAAGAGGCTCAGTGGTTTAGACCACAGCACCACCCGCTAACTCTGTATTTGGCAGCTTCTTATTTTGCTATGTTCCTACATAGAACTGTAGCTGTGCGAAATTGTTTTATAGACAGGAATGATATAAGAAATCATGATATGACACAGGGGCACGAGGGGCATGAATATCAAAGGAATTACTTCATGTACTCTCTCTGCTCCACAAAAGGTGGAGCAGGGAACCCAGAGACAACTCTGCAGTCATATCCATACATGTTTGGGATGGTGGTGTAAGCACCACTGAAAACATTTAGGTTTTGATTTGGGTAAACACAAAGGATTTTGCTCCAAGTATTTGAGTACAGTGGTACCTCAGGTTACAGATGCTTCAGGTTGCAGATGCTTTAGGTTACAGACTCTGCTAACCCAGAAATAGTACCTCGGGTTAAGAACTTTGTTTCAGGATGAGAACAGAAATCGTGAAGTGGTGGCGCGGTGGCAGCGGGAGGCCCCATTAGCTAAAGTGGTGCTTCAGGTTAAGAACAGTTTCAGGTGAAGAACGGACCTCCAGAATGAATTAAGTTCTTAACCCGAGGTACCACTGTATGGCACAACACTAGAATAGCTAAATGTTTATGATATATAGAAGGACTTTAAGGCACACAATTTTTAAAGAACAGCTACCATACAAAGTCATTGATATGAAAAGCCACAGATTATTTGATTCCATCCAAGTAACAATTCCACAACAGTTCCACAAACTTCAAAGAAACCAAAGAATTCAAAGAATCTAGTCCTTCAAAATCTTCATCAGGAATATTTGTACCAATATTTGGAGAAGTTATGTGGGCTGCTGCAATTTTGCTGCTGCTTCTCCTTCCTTTATTAGTTGCCATATAGAACTCATGGGAACTAACAAATGCAAAGAAATAAAATTTAAAAGCTAACATAAAATAAATGTAATAATTCCAAGCAATTACCCTGCCTTCCCTAAGTTCTTCAGTATGGTCAACATCAAAATTGCAAACAACCACCACTACCAACTACAACAACTAGCAAGCAACAGAAGAGAGAGCTAATAATAAAATGATGTCTTGCGAAATACTAGGTTTGGCACTGAAAATATTGTATTGTCAGTGCTAAGCAGTCCTCCCTGGAGACAGTATTCTATAGCTAAGGATCCATTACTGAAAAGAATCTGTCACTTATAGCAAACCTTTGCACTTCTGCTGGAGGGGGCACTCAGAGGAGGATCTCTGACAATGGCCTAAGGTTCTGGGCAGTTTCATATGAGACACCACACAAGGTACCGAGGTCTCCAGCCATGTAAGGCTTTATGGGTCAAAACCACCCCTTTGAATTACACCTGCAAATCTATTGGAAGCCAACACAGCCAGATCAGAACTGATGTTTTATATTTTCATACCACCTGATCCATGTTAGGAGTCTGGTCCCTGAATTCTGCACCAGCTGTGGTTTCTGGACAGGCTTCAAAGGCAGCCCCATGTATAGCTCATTGCAGTAATCTAATTTGGTGTGCGGGGGAGCAAGGGTTAACTTCCCTTTCCTCAAGTATGCAGCAGCTGCAATCCAAATTGCTAACCTTACTGGTTTTAGGAGTAGTAAAAGATGTTGGAAGATTTGTTGAGGGAAATCTGTGATGAGATGTATGCCCTGAGTGTGGTACATACTGTGTTCACATGGAACATTAAACCCTCTGAGGTTGACTTCCACTGAGTTTAGTTTCACTTTAAAGAACCACTCTTTAACATGATGTTCCACCCAAGGATCCTGGTTTAAAACAAACTCTGGCTCGTTTCATAATAAGTCAGTTTCAAATCATGGGCTATGCATCTGCTTTAGTAAATTACCCATTGCTTTTAAACCAGGATTCCTGCTTTGAATAGAACATTAAGTAAAACTAAACTTGACAGAAGGTCTTCTCCTGGTGGCAAAATACAGGGAGTTGTTGAGGAGCATGTGAGTCTAACTCTTCAGTTCGGCTTACTGAGAATCATCCATGATTTTAGTGTTACATGTGAACTGATCTATTGTGAGTGTGAGCAAGCATGAGGAACTCAGGAGTCAATGCATTTAAAGCCTTTGGAGTTCAAGAAGGGTTGGCGTTTGCCTCTGGTACGAGGAGAACTTCCGCCAGCATGCAACCCTTGAGTGCTGAATTGGGCTATTGAACTTCAGAGTCTTTGGCTGTGTTGCTTGACACCTGCTAGGATAATTATTGGAGACAGGTTGGATAGAGCCCATCTTCTTGCCAAGGCACAGAATCGGGCACAGGGTGCTAGCTATGGGTCTCAGGGGATTCACCCCCCAGTCTGCTGAAATTTCAATCAATTTGTGAAGTGCAACCATAGCCCCTGCTGCTTTAAGCATCTTTGCACCATCCGTGGTTGTTCAAAATGAACAGGCATGTAGGTCACCTGCTCATGGTCTTCCCCCACTATGGATGTTCTGTTTTTCTCTTTGAAGTATACCAATTATTCATAATTTTGCATCTGCACATATAAATTAGCATATGCTAATTATATGCAAATCTGTGGCTTCTTTTGACGTCTTTGTTGGTGACGCAAATGCAGCCATCGAATGGTGCCCAGTTAACCCTCAGCCTTTTGCTTCTTTTCAATCCTCACTTCTTATAATGAAAAGCAAGAAGCAGGACAAGGGAGAAAGCATCCTTATCTCCAGAGTTTCAAAGGAGATTATGCAAGTTCATTTATCAGCTCTGTTTTATGGGTGGGTATAATGAAGCTGAGCAAAAGCTGTTTACAGAGTGATCACAAAGATAAATGGGTTGATGGAAGAGCTCTTAAATACCCGGATCCATCACTGCACCACATAAAGCATGAACTGTCTTACATGAAAAAGACGAACAGAGCAAAGGTCTTAAGATGTTTCGCTCTTTGAAAGGAGCAGTAATGATTTTGGACATATTTTCCATTATGAGCTTATAATATTTAACTGTTGCTGAAAACCAAAGGTCTGTATTGCTGCATAAAACTGCTAACTGAATCAAGATGGCTCAGTTTTAATAACTACAACATTTCAACTGACTCCCCAAAGTAATCCCAGCCCGTGGGAGAGATGGGAGCATAATTTCCACCCACTGGGCAAATTTATGAATAAACAGATCAGCTTCGCAAACTCATAATAAACAAGCGAGTCTTCCTTGATGGTCTAAAGCCTTAAAAACAAAAAAATAAACTCACAGAATGATTTGAGGTTGGGGAAGAAGCAGGTTATATCCTAATCACCAGGAGGAAATAGACTGGAGACTGGGAGCAGCTGCTGGGACCATATAACACCAGTCCTAAAGGATCTACACTGGCTCCCAGCATGTTTCTGAGCACAATTCAAAGAGTTGGTGCTGAACTTTAAAGCCTGAAGGAGTGTCTCCACACCTGTTTTTCAGCCTGGACACTGAGGTCCAGCTCCGAGGGCCTTCTGGTGATTCCCTCACTGCGAGAAGTGAAGTTACAGGGAACCAGGCAGAGGGCCTTCTCGGTGGTGGCACCCACCCTGTGGAACTCCCTCCCATCTGATGTCAAGGAGATACGACTCTACTGCCGGAGACTCCCTTAGTAACCTAGGCAAAGTGGGCAAATGCCTCTTTTGTGAGAGAGATTGTCTGGTTGCTCTCAGTAGATCTTCCTTAGGTCTTCATAATGCCTTATAGAATGTTATTTAATTTTTCTGTTCATCACCATAGTTTTTTGAATGATTCTTTTTTATTAACGAACTGGCAGCTTGGAAATGCTCTTATAAATGACTAGGAAAGGATGTGGAATCTGGGGTCTGGGGTCCCTCCACATGCAGCCCTCCAGACCTTTATCTGGCCCCTGAGACTCTCCCCTGCCATACCCCTTCTCCTTACCAGCTCCTTTAACACACTCCTTGAACGTTTTTGCCTAGCTGGACTGTCTCCTTGAACTCTGATAATAGAATCATAGAAGCGTAGAGCTGGGATCCTGAGGACCACATAGTCCATCCCCCTGAGATGCAGAAATATGCACCTGCCCCATATAGGAATCGAACCTGCAACCTTGGTGTTATCAGCACCATGTTCTAACCTACTGAGCTACCTGTGATGCCTCTTGCTTTCCTGGATGGAAGACAGAGAGGAATGTATGTGTTTGTGTAGGGACCAGACTGTACAAAGGTATCGTTTACATTCATGGTTCCCAAGGGCTTTTGCTTCTGGCTTATCTCCCCAGGTTATCTCCCCAGAGAGAGAGATGTGAATTAAGGCTCTGCAAGCTATCAGCTCTGGAGATGTGATGTGGGAGTGGCAGGCTTTGGCTGTATCAGAGGGTTTAAGCTGTGCCTCCACCTATTCTCAATCTGTATATTTGGGAATCAATTGAATACTGCATTAAAAGACACCACAAGCCCCTTGTGGCCTCCTCCCAAAGGAAACCTGGGAAAGTGCTTCACACCTGGGACTTTTAACTGCTTGGAGAAGTGAGGAGCGCATAACAGTATTTTATAGCTAGACCTGGCAGTATAGCACATGTGCATATTATTGGGTAAAGGTAAAGGGACCCCTGACCATTAGGTCTAGTCGTGACCAACTCTGGGGTTGCGGCTCTTATCTCGCTTTATTGGCCGAGGGAGCCGGTGTACAGCTTCCGGGTCATGTGGCCAGCATGACTAAGTCACTTCTGGCGAACCAGAGCAGCGCACGGAAACGCCGTTTACCTTCCCGCCGGAGCGGTACCTATTAATCTACTTGCACTTTGACGTGCTTTCGAACTGCTAGGTTGGCAGGAGCAGGGACTGAGTAACGGGAGCTCACCCCGTTGCGGGGATTCAAACCGCCAACCTTCTGATCGGCAAGTCCTAGGCTCTGTGGTTTAACCCACAGCGCCACCCGGGTCCCTGCTATGTTATTGGGTAGGAGTGATAAATGTCCTTTAAATACTTGTTTTATGTCCCTGGGATTGAGCACCAGTGCTTCCATAATCTCTGGAGACCCAAGTCTCTTGCTGTTGTGCCCATAAACCTCAACAGCAGCACAGAGTTCCACTGGTGTGTCCTTGATCTCAGCATCCTTGAATATTACACTCTTGTCCCGGCCTCCTGCTGCCAGTCAGCTGCATCACCCCATTGGTTCCTCCCACTTGTGCACAAGAAATACCAGCAGGAGCTAAGCAACTGCGGCTGTTTGAATGACAGGGAGAAGTGTGTCTCCCTGGGTGACGTGCACTCTCAAAAACTAAAAGGCCTTGAATTATGGCTGGGGGAGGAATCCAGGGAATCATGATTCCAAACTGGATGCACCTGGTCGGAGCTGCCCGGACCAATGTGAACATCAGGGGAAGAGTTTCCTCCAGAACCCCAGCATTGCCAGATTCTCTTATAGCCTTATTCTTGGTGATGCAAGCCAAATTGGCACTCCAATGCAGGATCAGATCCTGAATAATAGATGTTTTTCCACATACCATTATGGGATTTAGCAACACTGCCTCAAATGAACTGGCTTTATGTACCTTAGAAGACTAAAAAGTAGGTACAGTGGTACCTTGGGTTAAGTACATAATTCGTTCCGGAGGTCCGTACTTAACCTGAAACTGTTCTTAACCTGAAGCACCACTTTAGCTAATGGGGCCTCCTGCTGCTGCCATGCGGCTGGAGCACGATTTCTGTTCTCATCCTGAAGCAAAGTTCTTAACCTGAAGCAGTATTTCTGGGTTAGTGGAGTCTGTAACCTGAAGTGTATGTAACCTGAGGCGTATGTAACCCAAGGTACCACTGTATTTCTGGCCTTGTTTTGTTTTCATTCCAGCCACTCTGCATGTCACACTTTGGCAATCTTCCTATCATCACAACTTCAAAGGTAGAAATGGTAGTCTTCCCCTCCCTGTAATGCAGAAAAAACTAAAGCCAAGGTTCCTGAATTGATATAAAGCTGGAGCATTAATAACAAGTGCTAGATTTTGCAAATCTTTCCATGTCATTCTAAAATGTGCCAATCCTGACATTTCTGCTGCTAAGGATGGAGAGCAGTTTCCGATGGATGCTGAAAACCTGGCACTTTCATCATCTCAAAAAATTATCGATTGCCTCAATTGTCTAGTAGTCTCTGACAACTAGGCAGCCAACCTGTGTTTGGGCAAGATCCTATCAGAGTCGAAATCTTTTAAAAGTCTCATTGCTTTCAATGCAAAATATTTAAATATGCTTAACCATCCTGTTGAAAGCCATTTAAACTTGCTTTGTTCTGGCTGGATCACGACTGCTGATACAAATACACATCGATATAATGAAAATAATAACGGTTGTGTCCGTAAGCTCATTGGGATAAGGTAGGAACCTAATCACACAAACTGTGTTTGTTCACTTTGCACGTTGTGGGTTAGACAGGAGAGAACCTCAGCTGGTAGGAGCGGGGCCTTTACAGCGGTGGCAGACTTTGGGATCTCAATTTTCAGTGGCGTCCTGTGTTAAAATTTGGTGCCCCCTGCCTCTCACGCTCCATTCTACAGCATTGTGTTGACGGCCCCAGCAATGCGGCGCCCAGTGAGACTGCACGAATCGTGCCACCCTAAAACCGCCTCTCTTCACAGCAACTGTGGAATGATCTGCAAGATTGTGGTTTTCTGCCTGCTTTTAGGAAGGGTTGCAAGATGTTCCTGTTCTAGCCAGCTTTTGGCTTGTCTGATTGAGGGCTACGCCCAGAAATGGGTGAGTTGCGAGTTAATGGATGCTGTTATCTTTCGTCGTTCCACATAGGCTTTGTTTGGAGCTGGGGGTTTTGCTTTGCCGGTTGTGTTTTATCTATTGTCTGCTTTGAGCTTGTGGGAAGAGCCTGGCAAACGTGTCTCAAACACACAGATGAGATCGGCAAGGGTGTGAAAGCCACGCACAGAGCTTACGCGTCACAATTTGCGACTAAAACGAAGCTGTGCAAGCTTTCATGATGAGGATGGATGTGACGCCTATCGTTGCAAAAATAAAATAAAATAGCAGGCATCTGGGATCAAGCATTTGCTTGTGGGAAGTCCTCGAGGACTGAGCTTGCTACTCTTAGGAGGTGCAGCTGTATTGGCGAGGAAGGAGGAAATGCTTCTGTAAGCCTTGGGGCATGTTTGGCAGGAACTCATTACTTGCTTGCACATATGGGTGGAACCTTTGGCTCTGAGCAGACCAGTTAATTTTGTAACAGAGAGTGTAACATACACATGCTCAAGCAATAGACACCAGATTTTTATATTAAGGACATAAAACATGAGAAAAAGCCCTGCCAGATCAGACCAGAGGCCCATCTTGTCCAACAGCCTACTCCCACAGTTGCCAACCAGATATATATAGGAAACAAGTTTGAGTGCAACAGCACTCTTTTAATTTTGGAAATGTAACAGAAAAAAAGAGACATTGTCAGCTACTGCCGACAGTAAGAATAGTCCATTGTTCCTGACTTGAAAATTATAAATTTATCTAGGCAGTCCTTATGTCCAAATGATATGGGCTATTATAACTTCAAACACGGAAAAGGCAGTGAGAATTCAGACTGCGGAGTGGGAGATGTCGGCTATTTATCCTTCCAGCCTTTCGGTATACAGTGGTACCTCTAGTTATGAACTTAATTTGTTCGGAGGTCTGTTCTTAACCTGAAACTGGTCTTAACTAGAGGCGTGCTTTTGCTAATGGGGTCTCTTGCTGCCACTGCGCCGCCGGCATATGATTTCTGTTCTCATCCTGGGGCAAAGTTCTCAACTTGAGGTAACTCTTCCAGGTTGGCAGAGTTTGTAACCTGAAGCATTTGTAACCTGAGGTGTTTGTAACTTGAGGTATCACTGTAATTCTCTTTGCAACCATAAGGGCTCACAGGGACCACTCTTACTGTCCATCTGTTGGTCACCACATCACAGAAAAATAAATTAAGGGTGTGTGACTACCTGCAAACAGCAAGGACTTTTATTTTCAAAACAAAGTGAATGTGAACAACAGCACTCTCCTTGCCTGTGATTCCCAGGAAGTGGTATCCAGAGACATAGGCTGGATCTACACTGACCTATTTAACGTTATTAGAACGTTATTAGCGATATCATTCTAAAAAGTTGCAGGGCATGCTTGTAAATTAAAAGCGTATCTTACCAGGTTTCTTCGTCAATCAGTTAAATCCACCCATTTATTATGGTCATAGGTAAAGGTAAAAGGTAAAGGACCCTTGGACGGTTAAGTCCAGTCAAAGGCGACTATGGGGTTGCGGTACTCATCTTGCTTCAGGTTGAGGGGCCAGCATTTGTCCACAGACAGCTTTCCGGGTCATGTGGCCAGCATGACTAAACCGCTTCTGGCACAATGGAACACTGTGACAGAAACCAGAGTGCACAGAAATGCCATTTATCTTCCTACCGCAGCGGTACCTACCGTATTTATCTGCTTGCACTGGCATGCTTTTAAACTGCTAGGTTGGCAGGAGCTGGGTAAGAGCAACAGGAGCTCAGCCCGTCACAAGGATTTGAACCGCCAACCTTCTGATTGGCAAGCCCAAGAGGCTAAGTGGTTTAGACCACAGCGCTACCCGGTCATAGACTACTCATTTTACTACTTTAAAATGGCTAGAAATGCAATAATTATGACAATAAGATACAATTTGTTGTTGTTGTTTAGTTGTTTAGTCGTGTCCGACTCTTCGTGACCCCATGGACCAGAGCACGCCAGGCACTCCTGTCTTCCACTGCCTCCCGCAATTTGGTCAAACTCATGCTGGTAACTTCGAGAACACTATCCAACCATCTCGTCCTCTGTCGCCCCCTTCTCCTTGTGCCCTCCATCTTTCCCAACATCAGGGTCTTTTTCAGGGAGTCTTCTCTTCTCATGTGGTGGCCAAAGTATTGGAGCCTCAGCTTCACGATCTGTCCTTCCAGTGAGCACCCAGGGCTGATTTACGGTACTTAAGAATGAAAAAGTTTGATCTTCTTGCAGTCCATGGGACTCTCAAGAGTCTCCTCCAGCACCATAATTCAAAAGCATCAATTATTTGGCAATCAGCCTTCTTTATGGTCCAGCTCTCACTTCCATACATCACTAATGTTGTTGTAGTTGTTTAGTCATTTAGTCGTGTCCAGCTCCTGTTTCTCTGCTTTTTTCCAGCTTTTTTTTTTATACATCACTAATACTTATATATAAAAAACAAGCTGGAAAAAAGCAGAGAAAGAGGAGTCGCTAACCAACTAGAGCTTTGTCCAGTTGAACCCTGGGCACGAAAAAGAATCATGTGTCCTAAGCACAAGATTTCATAAACTGAATGATAATGCCTCTGTAAGGCTTGCTGTCCTTGATTTATCATGATTTAATTGCAGGTTATAGCAGATGCCCAGAATCGTGCTACATTGTGTGTCAGAAGATTTCTATCTGATATGATAATAAGTATTTTAAATAGAATGTTTCAGTTCTTCCTGTTCTTCTTCTTCTTTTTTTAAAGGATTGGGGTAATGAGTTGTTTATGCAGGTCATGATAAAAAGGGCAATAGAATAGTACCTGGGCTTCAGTTTCCACACTTCCCATGTGTCATAGGGATATAACTGCTCTCAAACATGGATCCTATTATGTCTGTCATCAAGGAGCGCAGTGTTACGATATAGAAGCAATGCAGCTGCAAACTGGTAGCTTGAAAACAAAACATGATGGGAATGTTGGGACTGTCCGTGGGAAACAGTGGGACAGTCAGTTCACAGGGCAATGCACCGGAATTAGCTCAGAGTGTAATTTGAGCTCTTCCTCTTCCTCTTGCACAGGAAGTACAGGAAGTCTTTGTCACTTGACTGCTGGAGTTTGAAGAGTACAGACATGTTTTCTGTAATGCTGCAAAGACAGAAATAAAAGCATGTAAATACGTTTCTGTCTATCTCCTTTTCCCTGCCGGGGGAGCAGGAGGGAGGGGGTGTGTTCTTCCCACGTTTGGGAAGAATCGCCTATCGAGACCTAGCCTGGATCTTGCTGGGGAATGCAGCCAGGGAGGTCAACAGGAGACCAAGCTGGGTGCCTGGGAGAGTTGCCAGTTTCTCCCGATAAAGGCTTGATTTCCGACACGCAGAAGGTAAAACTTTTAATCTAGTTATCACAAAAGCTTTCCCATATTTGGGGATTGATGAATTTGACATATATTTTGGCATTATAAATGTCCCTGTATTTGAGATGGTGTGCACTCAGTCTCAGGTGATTTTGGAATTCAATGTCTCTGATTTGTTGTATAATAGCCACTTTAGTTTTAGTGTGTTCTAAACCATTTATTATTATTATTATTATTATTATTATTATTATTATTATTATTATAATTTATATACCGCCCTATACCTGGGGGTCTCGGAGCGGTTCACAGAATTAGATCAAGATACAAAACCACAAAATATCTAATAAAAATACAAAGAACAACCCAATACCCCCCCCGACACATTCTAAAAGGGCATGGGATGTCAATAAGATCAACCAAAGGTCTGGTTAAAAAGGATTTTTTTTGCCTGGCATCTAAAGGTGTATAATGAAGGCGCCAGGCGAACTTCCCTGGAGAGAGCATTCCACAGACAGGGAGCCACTGCAGAGAAGGCCCGTTCTCGTGTTGCCACCCTACGTACCTCTCGAGGAGGAGACACACAAAGAAGGGCCTCAGAAGATGATCTCAGGGTTTGGGTAGGTTCATATGGAAAGAGGCGGTCCTTGAGGTATTGCGGTCCTGAGCTGTTTAAAGCTTTATAGGTCAAAACCAGCACTTTGAATTGGGCTGCAAAACTAATTGGTAGCCAGTCCAGTTGGACCAGGATCAGTGTAGTACAGTGGTACCTCGGGTTACATACGCTTCAGGTTACAGCCTCCACTAACCCAGAAATAGAACCTCGGGTTAAGTACTTTGCTTCAGGATGAGAACAGAAATGGATGCTTCAGGATGCTCCAGCAGCACGGCAGCAGCAGGAGGCCCCATTAGCTAAAGTGGTGCTTCAGGTTAAGAACAGTTTCAGGTTAAGAACGGACCTCCAGAATGAATTAAGTACTAAACCTGAGTTACCACTGTATGCTCAAACCGTCTTGCTCCAGTGAGCAACCTGGCCACTGAACTCTACAACCAATGAACCAGCAGAGGGAACTGTCACAATGAGGGGCGTGTCACAAGGAACTCCGCAACCTAGTAATCACCAGCACCGAACTGACACTACACTCAACTGACACTCCTAACTTTGCTTATATGGCTTTTAATCCATGTTTAGCCCCAACACATTTTAAAAGGGCATTGGATGTCAATCAGATCAACCAAAGGCCTGGTTAAAAATGAACCTTTTTGCCTGGCACCTAAATACTGAAGGTGCCAGGTGAACTTTCCTGGAGAGAGCATTCCACAGACGGGGAGCCACTGCAGAGAAGGCCCGTTCTCGTGTTGCCACCCTCTGGTTGAAAAGCCCAGATCTTGCAATTTCGTCAATAGTGTTGGTTTCCATTTGGATTGAAATGGGTCGATCAGAGTCAGTGGGGCAAGACCTATTTAGGGGCATTTCAGTCTCCTTCTTCCATTGGTGAGCTATCGCTAGTCGTGCTGCGGTCGGTAAGAACCTTACTATGCAGAATTTGCTTCTGGACTTTGAAGGATGAGCTCCTTGAAAGACTGGACCATGACAGTTCATTCTGCACACATTGTCACGGATGCTCTCGGCAAGCTTCTTCTTTTGAGCCAAGTTGGTGTTACAGCAGGCTATTTTGTGTAAGCATTTTTAATGACTCTTAGTTCCTATCAACTCTTTTCAAAGGTCAAGCTATTCTTCCTTGAACAACAGTAAGTGTGCTTTGAAATGCGGTGTGTGTGTGTGTGTGTGTGTGTGTGTGTGTGTGTGATGCAGGAAGTTCGTGTTTTTTTCTAAAATCTTGAAGTTTTTCTTCTTTTTTTTAAGCTCCTAGGGGTTTTCCAATAATTGACAAGCAACTAAGCAGTGGCATGGAAAAAGCTTTTAAAGGTTATTAGTTATTCAGGAGTGCTGCAAAAGGGCAATTTGGTCTTCATTAGCAAGACAGTGTAAATTGGAAAAATGCTCCAGCCACTCAGATACACTTTTAAATATATCCATGTTAGCAAGAAAGACCGCTGTCTGCTTATTCATGTTTGATTGTCTTTGATTTCACCTCAAGGTCTTGCCAGCCAGCTTGTAGAAGATGACACTAATGAAGGCATATTCTTCATGTATCACAGAGGGAGGCCTCTGCTTATATTAGATTATTATTCTGCTCACACAGAGATTAATTTGAAAAACATCAGCTTTTCTCAGGAATACTTAGGTGCAAACCATGCATCGCAAAGTTATTTGCAGTTAAAAAGCAAAACAACCTGCAAATTGGAGCTCGGGAAGATCTCGTGAAAAGATGCCATTTAATCCTATTCCCTTCCACAAGCAGTTCTTGGACCTACAGAAGGAAAATCTAGAGCTGTTGGAGCATCCCTGTATCTTTCTCCTCACAGGGGAAAGGGAAGTTTGAGAGGAATGGTTTTCACCTGAAAAGGAACCAAAGGGCAAATGACTGAATTGCATCTTCCACCGATCTTTCTACCACTCAGACCACACCTGGAAAACTGGTGACCCTCTAGAAGTTGCTGAATTCAACTTCCATCATCCTGGATGTGAGTTAAGGTAAAGATAAAGGGACCCCTGACCATTAGGTCCAGTCGTGGCTGACTCTGGGGTTGTGGCGCTCATCTTGCTTTATTGGCCGAGGGAGCCGGTGTACAGCTTCCAGGTCATGTGGCCAGCATGACTAAGCCACTTCTGGCGAACCAGAGCAGCGCACGGAAACGCCGTTTACCTTCCCGCCAGAGCGGTACCTATTTATCTACTTGCACTTTGATGTGCTTTCGAACTGCTAGGTTGGCAGGAGCAGGGACCGAGCAATGGGAGCTCACCCCGTTGCGGGGATTCGAACCGCCAACCTTCTGATTGGCAAGTCCTAGGCTCTGTGGTTTAACCCACAGCACCACCTACGTCCCGGATGTGAGTTAGAGTCTTGCAAAATCTGAAGGACCACAGGCTTCTCAACCCTGACAAAGTCTTCCCAGTGCTGGTTTGGGGGCTCACCCACAATTCCATTGGGTCTTTGACTTCTAAGCATGACTCCAAGAGACTTTTCTTTGGTCCTGCTGCTTTGCCCAGAAAATCCCGTCATTTGCTGCTGAACCAGAGCAAATGTCAATCAGGTTTTCTGAGGACTGACATCTGTGCCATGGACCAAATATATAAGAAATCACGGAACAAAGGTAGTGTAGGTGAGCTCTGAGTTGAAAACAAATCCACAGATAAAATAATCCCAGAACTGTTCATAACTGTCAGTTTTAACCTATATAATGTTGATTCCAAACCCAACACGAGGGTGGGGAGGAGAGGCAAGGAAACGAATGCTAGAAACCTGTGGGTGGTTGTGGGGAGAGATTAAACTGAGATGCGTAGGCATAATATCAGCAAAAAAAAAAAAAAAGTAGAAATAGTTACAAAACTATATTTCACTGGTTTCTTTTATTCTTTGGAACACATGCAGCCCCGGAATCTCCCTGCTGGTAAGGGAGTGCACTACCTGAAGTTTGGGAAGTAATTTATGAATTTAAAAAAGAAATGCTAATAATCTGTTTGCAGTGCAGCTCAGTTTGACTCATCCTATATTCTGACACACAAGAGGGTAGCAACAGAGGTGAATTTAGGGGAGCACGACTGGTTCGGTTACACTGGGCACAAAGCCTTGGGGGAGCTGCAGGGGGTGCTGCAATATCTGTTGGGTACCACACTGGGAAGGCTGCCTTGACATTCCTATACACATGCTGATTGTATAAACTCACCCAGTGTCTAAACAGTGCCTCAAAACATCCGCCTCTGAAGGAGATGTTAACAGGAGTGTTATAAATTAAATGCAATATGTCCTTCAAGCAGAATTTAGAACTGACTCTGGTTGTGAATATGGTATGTAATTTCTTCCTGACACCTTTCACTGAAGCCCTCCACCCAATGGTTTATTTCCAGTGTCTCCATTCAGAACAAGTTGCTTGACCTCGCATTTAGAAGGTCTGTCATCACCTAAAACAGTTCCTTTTCATAAAGCGTTCGCAAGTGTACATTGCTGAGCTTTTAGCAGCATTTCAAACAAACCTGTGACCTGCTGACCTACAGGTGGAAAGACTATCTATAAATTTGCCCAGGGACAGGCATTTTGTTTTACTTGGCAATGCTTCCCACTGAATATTAAAGAGCCAGAATTAAGTGAGGTCAGCATTGTGCCACCATGTGCCCCCCCCCGCTGCCATTCAAACCTTGTTAATCTTGCTCGACTAAAAAGCTGGAAACTGATGCTATAAAAACAGGAATGCTGTTGCTAACAAAAAGTAGCATGAGCCAAGGGTTTCGATCCATGTCCGGAGGACATGGAGGGATTATACGAACCTTGAAGCAATTAGTTAAATTGTCTCCCTTCTGGTAAATTCCAAAAGACATTATTAATTGAACTGCTGGTCCCTATTAAAGAGTCCAGCTATTCAAGGACCCTGACAGCGTGCCTGAAGACATTCCTGAAATATATCTTCAGCTTTAGGAAAGACCATTTAGCGAAAATCAATGTCTGCCAAGTTCATATTTACCAAATGTAGCTGAATGCAAAAGGAGGTACTAACTTCTACATGTTTGGCAAATAGTTCTCAATATTGACTATTCCTGAACAAAGCTGAGGAACTGAATGACTGGAGAAAGTTGGGGGCTGATATATGCATTGAGGCAGAGAGCCAGAGCTTTAGATTTCCGGATTTACTGGATTAATTAAACAAATAAATTACCGTATTTTTTGCACCATAGGACGCACCGAACAATAGGACGCACTTTGTTTTAAAGGGGGGAGAACAAGAAAAAAAAAATCTCCCCCTCTCTGCTCAGCGCCCCTTCCGCAAAGCGGCAGGAGGTGCTGCGCAGAGAGGGGGAGAACTTTCCCCCTCTTGTTTTCCCGCTCTAAAACAAGGTGCCGTGTAAGGTGCGTTCAGGCGGCTACCTTGGACGCATGGAGGGCGTGAGGGGTGGGTGTGCCCAGACCCCTCTCGCTCTCCAGGCTTCAGGTTCCTTTCGACCTGCTCTTTGGAGCTGGCGGGGGGAAGCCCACCACCAGCCCCAAAGAGCAGGTCAGGGAGCAGCGGAAAGGCGCAGCGGAGAGGCTCCTGCCATAGCCGCGCGTCACCTCTCCAGCCGGGAGAGGGTTGTGGGGTGCTTCTTTAGCCCCGCGCGCACTCTCCCGGCTGGAGAGGTGACGTGCGGCTATAGAAGCTCCTGCCAAACCGCGCGTCACCTCTCCAGCTGGGAGAGGGTCGCGGGGCTATGGTGTCTTCGCTCCATAGGACGCACACACATTTCCCCTTCATTTTTGAAGGGGAAAAAGTGCGTCCTATAGAGCGAAAAATACGGTAAACACATCCAAAAGTACACAACTAAACTGAACTATTCCCACCTAAATTCATGATAAGGTCTAAAAATGAAGATACAAAAATGGAATATCAAGAACAGAAACAAAAGCCTGCAATACTCCCACCCTAAACAATACACCTTTTGCATTATGGTGCTGGAGGAGACTCTTGAGAGTCCCATGGACTGCAAGAAGATCCAACCTATCCATTCTTAAGGAAATCAGCCCTGAGTGCCCACTGGAAGGACAGATCCTGAAGCTAAGGCTCCAATACTTTGGCTACCTCATGAGAAGAGAAGACTCCCTGGAAAAGACCCTGATGTTGGGAAAGATGGAGGGCACAAGGAGAAGGGGACGACAGAGGACGAGATGGTTGGATGGTGTTCTCGAGGCTACTAGCATGAGTTTGACCAAGCTGCAGGAGGCGGTGGAGGACAGGAGTGGCTGACGTGCTCTGGTCCATGGGGTCACGAAGAGTCGGACACGACTAAACGACTAAACAACAACAACAAACAATACACCAGTCCAAGAGTTCAGCTTTTGTAGCTGGAATCAGTTGGAAGGAATGAGTTTCTTTTTGGGGGGGGGGAGTTCAAGTTCAAGAAAAAGAAATGAGAGAAGAAACTGATTTGTCTTACTGTGGAGACTACTGATTATGCCTTTGTGTTAATGTCTACAATGCGGATTGATCCCTTTGCTCAGCTGTTCTGCTTGGTTAGTTAACAAGGAAGAATACTATTGTTTCACTGGAATACTGGCCCTGAAGATTCATGGCAACAAGTTTTTTTTAAAAAAACATTTAATTCTTTGTATAACCACCAAAGCCATGCTACCAAGAAGACGATCTGTTGTTTTCCATATAAGCAAGGAGAGCAATTATCTTTGCATGTGCCCACTGGGTTTTTTGAGATGCTTTTCCATGAACGCAAACCTCTGCTTCGCGGCGGAGTGCTGTGTACATTAGGCAACGGATGCAGCAGCAGGCAACAGAGTGCCCTGGCAAAGGAGAAAACTCATTTTGCTCGGTGTGGTCCCTCTTCTCGAGAAGAGCAATGTTTGTGCAACACGGCTCTGGTTGCTGGGAAGGGAAAGGAAACCACTGTGCACATCTGCTCAGATTTGGAAGCGCAGCTCTTCCAGATGTCCAGCACAAATATTACAGAAGCCAACTTTGCATCCCAAAGGCACAATAAGTAAGTCCTGTGACTGGCCACTTCAGCAGTAGGCTTCTTCAGAGATTCTTCACATTAGAGCCACAGTTTTAAATTGCTTAATTAACAAGGTTAATCATTTAACTGCCTTCTGATCTGCTGAAAAGTGTTTCAGATTGATATGGCAATGCACTTTTAAAATAGAGCACCTTTGCAAACACTGCGGACAGCAGGTGCCATTTTGGAAGAAACATACTTCCATCACTCTCACAAGAAGGGAAACCTGTTCTCAAGCTGCTACCTTTTATACATATGTATAGTGGGATGCAGGTGGCGCTGTGGGTCTAGGACTTGCTGATAGGAAAGTTGGCGGTTCGAATCCCCGCGACGGGGTGAGCTCCCGTTGCTCAGTCCCTGCTCCTGCCAACCTAGAAGTTCGAAAGCACGTCAAAGTGCAAGTAGATAAATAGGTACCGCTCCAGCAGGGAGGTAAATGGGGTTTCCGTGCGCGAGATGAGCACCACAACCCCAGAGTCGGTCATGACTGGACCAAATGGTCAGGGGTCCCTTTACCTTTACCTATACATATGTATGCATTATGTTTGTTTGTTTTTTTACTGCAACACTTTGGTTTCAAAAACCACACGATAACCCATGGTGGTTATATACAGTGTAAGTATAGATGGAATTTGCTGCAATAGGTGACAAAGCAGTGCAATCTTCTACTTTTTGGTGGTAGAAGTGGGATCCACTACATTTGGCTCCTGACATTTGGCTTTAAGAGAGAACTTGGATGAGATTCTTCCTCTGGTCCAAACTGTGGTGGTTTAATAAACCCAACTGAAAAATAGTCATGTAGAAAGTTATGGAAACTACTGGAGTTCTGATAAATGGCTGGGATATTCAGACCACATACATCTTGTTCTCGAGTATCATCCTTGATGCTAACAGCCTCCCCAAGTCATCCTCAGCATCCTTTATTCTACATCACATAAGCATGGGAATGTAATTACTCACCCCAGCTTCAATAAATATTTCCTGAATACATGTACTAGATATATTACCATTGCTAATACAGTTTCAAAAATTGAATTTCATTGGTGAGATGGAGCTAAGCTGGTCTGGCTCCAGCCAGTGTCTACATGGGAGCTTGCATAGACACCCTATGTACATTGCCCTAGACTCTACAGCAGGATACAACTTACATGAAATAATTGACTAAGAAGAAATAAATATTAAGAGCGCTGATGTCACTGAATCAAAAACTTATCCTATTGGCCACACTGCTATAACAACCGAATGAAGTCCAGCAGCTAAACGGACCCATGAAATGATTGCTTTCCCAGATCCTTGTTATCCATTCTCTTCATTGTCTATGGACTTTATGCTATTGTGAGAATTCAGTCCTCAACCTGAAATAGCAAGTCTTAGAAACACCTGAAGGGGGCTTTGCATAAAATAAATTGTTGTGGTTCGAGGACCCGAACCCCGCGCAGTGGAATGAAACACAAGGACACGTGATATAAGGTTAATGGGCAAGAAAAGGCCACAACTTTATTGATTACAGCAGTGAAAAGGTATTGGCTTAGGCATTGGATGTCTAAAACAAGGGGGTTTATTCACCAGTAGGTGGAGCCTGTTGATGCTAATCCAACTATAGGCTCTCCCCTGATGTCACCGAGGGTCGTGCCATGGCCTCCCGCCAAGCAGGCATTGGACAGAATACACGACCGCCGGATTCCTTTAACGGAATACCCAAAAACTGAAGGTGCAGGCGATGGCCACACCTAGCCCTTCGACACCACAACACATTATTCCAAAGCCTAACCTACCCACCAATACCACGAAAGTTGTGACGATTGCTACGAGGTAGGCGAAAAAACCAAAAGGCCTAATGCCAAATGGAAAAATTCCTACCAGGCCCCCCGGACAACCAGGGCGACCAACCTAAGGTCCATAGCAAGGCCAAAAGAAAACTGGAAACCCTGCTCTAAGGGAGTGGAGGGTGGGTGACTCGTGACAGGAGGACAAAAGTGAGGGCTGGAGGCTGTCGCCGCAGCAATTTAGGCTGCTGTACACACCCCCTTGAAGGCACCTGGTTGGGTGCCTGGCCGAGGGCGTGAGCGCCAGCCAGGTGGGTGGGAGGCAGGGGGCAAATGCCCCCTGCTTGAGGCGGATTCTGGCTCCCGGCCACAACCACTCCCCTCTCTTGCAGGGAGGAGAGTCTTTGGGAAGCATCTGTAGGCTTGTAGAGGAGATAGGCAGAAGGTTAAGGGCAAAGTGCTGGCCCCGGAGAATTAATCAAGCATCTTCCTGTCCAATAAAGCCATGGAGACAGACATATGATATTCTTTTGGAATAGTCCTAAGCTGGAGATGGGAAAGGCAAGCCAATGATATTATTTATTGGAGTCCTGGAGTGTGTCTTCTACGAAAACATATCGTGGGGCAACTTGGTGAAAACAAAAGGGAGATGAAATGCTTGGGTCAAGGCCCTGATCTCATTTTTTGACAGAATTACAAGCCTGGTAGATGAAGGGAATGCAGTGGATGTAGCCTACCTTGATTTCAGCAAGGCATTTGACAAGGTGCCTCATGATATTCTTGTAAAGAAGCTGGTAAAATGTGGTCTTGACTATGCTACCACTCAGTGGATTTGTAACTGGCTGACTGACCGAACCCAAAGGGTGCTCATCAATGGTTCCTCTTCATCCTGGAGAAGAGTGACTAGTGGGGTGCCACAGGGTTCTGTCTTGGGCCCGGTCTTATTCAACATCTTTATCAACGACTTGGATGATGGACTCAAGGGCATCCTGATCAAATTTGCAGATGACACCAAATTGGGAGGGGTGGCTAACACCCCAGAGGACAGGATCACACTTCAAAACGACCTTGACAGATTAGAGAACTGGGCCAAAACAAACAAGATGAATTTTAACAGGAGAAATGTAAAGTATTGCACTTGGGCAAAAAAATGAGAGGCACAAATACAAGATGGGGACACCTGGCTTGAGAGCAGTACATGTGAAAAGGATCTAGGAGTCTTGGTTGACCACAAACTTGACATGAGCCAACAGTGTGGCGCTAGCAGCTAAAAAGGCCAATGCAATTCTGGGCTGCATCAATAGGAGTATAGCATCTAGATCAAGGGAAGTAATAGTGCCACTGTATTCTGCTCTGGTCAGACCTCACCTGGAGTACTGTGTCCAGTTCTGGGCACCACAGTTCAAGAAGGACATTGACAAACTGGAGCGTGTCCAGAGGAGGGCAACCAAAATGGTCAAAGGCCTGGAAACGATGCCTTATGAGGAACGGCTAAGAGAGCTGGGCATGTTTAGCCTGGAGAAGAGGAGGTTGAGGGGTGATATGATAGCCATGTTCAAATATATAAAAGGATGTCACATAGAGGAGGGAGAAAGGTTGTTTTCTGCTGCTCCAGAGAAGCGGACACGGAGCAATGGATCCAAACTACAAGAAAGAAGATTCCACCTAAACATTAGGAAGAACTTCCTGACAGTAAGAGCTGTTCGACAGTGGAATTTGCTGCCAAGGAGTGTGGTGGAGTCTCCTTCTTTGGAGGTCTTTAAGCAGAGGCTTGACAACCATATGTCAGGAGTGCTCTGATGGTGTTTCCTGCTTGGCAGGGGGTTGGACTCGATGGCCCTTGTGGTCTCTTCCAACTCTATGATTCTATGATTCTATGCTTTATTCTGTAAAATATCCCAATGCTTGGGATATTGCCCCGTTTCTTCTTAAGATGTTGTGCTTCCAGGAAAAATTCCCCATGGGCTGAAATGTCCCACCCCTGCCATTCTTTCATAATAAATAGGTCTAGAACAGGCACCCCCAAACTCAGCCCTCTAGATGTTTTGCGACTACAACTCCCATCATCCCTGACCACTGGTCCTGTTAGCTAGGGATGATGGGAGTTGTAGTCCCAAAACATCTGAAGGGCCGAGTTTGGGGGTGCCTTGTCTAGAAGGTGGAGGGAATATGTAACTATATCCCTGCTCAATTTTTGTTCAACGTTTTTACCTGAGCCAGAAGACCAGTGGTTTATCTAGCTGAGGAGTACAAAAGACTTATGGACCTCAGACTTATGGACCTAACTAGGCCCATCAGGATTCCCCATGTGACCCACAAGGCCACTTTAGCCAAGCCAAGTCCACCTGCCCCACCCCTGAAATCACAGGCCATGTATAGATATGCTGGGGCCAAAAGGGGGTTTGCAGGCACTGATAAACAGATGGTCAGTGAGGCCTGCAAAGCTTTCCAGGATCTGAAGGTGGTGGTTCCCAGATGTGTGGATAGTGTCATTATATGGTTTAGACACTAGACGGCACTGTGTTGTATGTGAGAGGGATCAGCAGCTTCCTGTGTCTATCTTATTCTTGCTGGAGACAGACAATAACATTCTTGTCTTTCCTCCTGACCAGTATGCCCTCTAAACCTTCCATGGTCAGCCCTGCTGAGCTGAAACCTGAGATGTTTCAAACTAGAGATACCAGGGACTGAACCTAGGACTCAAGATTGGAAGTGAGGCCTTATATGCCCTGAGCTATATCATCTCCCCCTTTATTTTATTTTAATTTTTTGCCTAATGTGTTTGCTGTTGCTGCTTGTGTTTCAGCGTCTGGCTCTAAGTGCTGCAGCCTCATCTTTCAACATAGTCCAAAAATCTACTAATAAATTATGGAGAGTTTATGGGCTCAATACAACCACATTTAATCACGATCGAGTCCCATTGATTTCAATGTGAAAGTTAAACACATGCTTAAATCTCTCTGATTGACATTAATTGGATTTGGAAAGTGTTTAAATTTGGCTGGATTATTCCCTACATTTGCAAGATTAAAAGTATTTAAAAGCCTGGATGTCTGAAGATTTGCCAAAGACCAAGACTAGGCATATTCTGGAATCAGCATTGAGTGGCACTGCTTATTTAATCAAGCCACCAGAAAGTCATTTATTTCTAATTATTTTAAGTAAAAACAAATTTTGAAGCCTGTATGTTGCTTCCAAATGCAGAATTCATGTGCACACAACTATTCTGCCGCGTCTAGTCATTTGTATTTTCTTCACTCAAAAATCCAGCACCCTTCTCAGTCACAAACATATCTGGGGGGAAAAATACCAATTTTATTTTATGAAAAGCCAAACATTTCCAACTTTCAAGGTGGTGCCAAATCTTACATCTGAAATGGTAGCAAAGAAAACTTGGTGCCATATCCAAGTAATGGGAAAGACACATAACACTAGTCTGTACAAAGAGCCTAATATTGTAGCTACCCCAGTCATATGTCTCACTTAAGACAATAGCAGTTGGTGAGAAGGGGCAGGACCCTCACACCTGACCTCCTGGCCGTGGAGTCCCTGTCATTGTGGAGAGCGTATTAACTTATGGTCTGTGTGTGTGGTTTGGGAGCTGCACGGCCAGGGAAAAAACAATGCTGTCCAGGGTTGTAAAGACTGCAGAGAGAATAATTGGGTGCACTCTTCCCACCTTAGATCAAATCTATGCTTCCAGGTGCCATAAGAAAGCGGCAGAGATAGCGCAGGATAGTACGCACCCCGGAAATGATCTTTTTCAGCTTCTGCCTTCTGGAAGAAGGTGTAGGGTTGTAAAGGCCAGGACTAGCCGCCTGAGAAACAGTTTCTACGCAAATGCAATTCTGGTTCTAAACGCAGCATAAGGGGTCTTTATAGTATAGTGTATTTTAAAATGGGGTTTCAGAGTTTTTAGGGGTTTTTGAATGTTTTATGCAGTTTTTATGTAGTTTTATGTAGTTTTGTAGTAGTTTTATGTAGTTTTGTAGTAGTTTTATGTAGTTTTTCAATTTCATTGTTCTGCATGGGACAATGACAATAAAGATATCGTATATCGTATATCATTTGCTGGAAGTAGGCTAAGGCAAGAGGGAGGCAGGTTCATCAGTGGGAGCTCTTGTGTCAAGGACTGGCTGGATGAGGAGTAATAAAATAATAATAATACATTTTATTTATACCCCACCCTCCCCAGCCAAGACCAGGCTCAGGGCAGGTATAAAAACAATTGATTAAAATACAACTTAAAAACAAGATTAAAATACAACATAAAAATGCAGCTTCATTTCAGTAGAAACTCAAATCAAAAACTTTTGGGCGATGAAAACGTCAAATCTTCACCAAGGCCACCTATCCAGACTGGTCCTACGTGGGCCAGAAAAAAGCCAGGGAAGTCCCCAAATAGGAGTTCCATCGCAGAAGGAGAAAGGAAAAAAGAAAGAGAGGGAGGAAATCAAATTGATTCCAAGCCAAAGGCCAGGTGGAACAACTCTGTCTTATAGGCCCTGTGAAAAGAAATCAGATCCTGCAGGGCCCTGGTCTCATGAGACCACCCACCCAAGACCCCCCCTAGGGAAGGCACAGAAGAAGATGATTTAGATCTTAGTGGTGGGACACTGGCCACACTTCAGAAGAGGCGACAAGCTGGGAGGTACTAGAAGCAGGAAGCTTGAGGGACTAAAAAAAGGTAGAAGAAGGCAGGTGGCCCAGCACAGGGCAGGGTGATGAGGTTTGCAGTTCAGATGCATGCTCTGACAGAGATGAGGAAGGGGAGCCAGACTCTCTCTCTCTCTCTCTCTCTCTCTCTGTCTCTCTCTCTGACTTGTGAATGACCTACTCTTCCTGTCAGCCTTGTGACAGCTGGATTGCTTCTGCTGGTACGCCAACACGGCACCAGCATTTCCACCTTTTAATAATAATAATAACAATAATAATAATAATAATAATAATAATAATAATAATAATAATAATTTTATTTATAAACCACTCTCCCGGCCAAGACTGGGTTCAGGGCTGCTAACATCAGGTATAAAAACAACTGATTAAAATACAACTTAAAATGCAGCCTCATTTCAGATCAAAAACTGTTTGGGGGAAGAAAACGTCAAATCTTCACCAAGGCCAACTATCCAGACTGGTCCTATGTGGGCCAGAAAAAAGACAGGGAAGTCCCCAGATAGGGGTTCCATCATAGAAGGAAGAGGGGGAGGGGATCAGGCTGATTCCAAGCCAAAGGCCAGGCAGAACAACTCTGTCTTACAGGCCCTGCAGAAAGAAATCAGATCCCACAGGGCCCTGGTCTCATGAGACAGAGCGTTCCACCAGGCCGGAGCCAGTGTTGAGAAGGCCCTGGTTCACCGCTCCCCCTCTCTCCCCTGCTTAGCAGCAGTGACTCTGCAGCTGGGAGGTCAAGTGTAGCTACAGGTTTTGTTAGCATCCGTCTGCCTTGAGGGACAATGGAAGAGGGTGCCATGAGGGGTAAAGTCAAACCGTTGGAGAGTTACAGTGCCTGCTGTGGCTGTAGAGACCAATATGGGAGAGGCATGTTTTATTGCAGGCAGATGAAGGTGATTTCAGGCCGTTACAGCCTAAGGATCAGTCCTTTTGCAGCATAATCCTAGGCATGGTTACTTGGAGATAAGCCCCACTGTGTTCAGTAGCAATTATTCCCCATTGTTTAGGATGGCAGCATTAAACGTATTAATCTAGAGTAGGGATGTAGAACACTCCCTCCCCTGCCATGCTCTCCCCCATGTGTCATCTTCCAGAGACCACAGGAAGCAACTGATGTGGTTCTTGCTTTTCTGTTGTAAGCATCATTCTAGCCACAGAATAACCAGAGTTTTCTAATACACAGACAGCAGAGGAGCCAACCCCCATGGCAGGTTGCCAGGAATGGATAAGACAAAGAAAAGTGCTAACCATCTTTACAGAGAGAGGTTTGAGAATGCAGCCTCTTGGAATAATGGTGTTCTCCTGAGTAAATCTCCACCCACTTTTTCTCCCACTTCCCCATTCGTCAACAGCACCCCCCCCATATGGTTGCTGCTTAGGGCCATCTGTCTCCAAGCTCTTTACTCTCATACTTTTAAGGCTTGCCGGGTTCTGGAAGATGGTGGGTCTGGAACACTTTCTCGTGATAATGTGTCAGCCAGCTGCTCCAGCTCTGCCTCTTCCTCCTCTCCCATTATTTCCCACCTTTCCCCCTCATCTTCCTCTGAACTGTGACCTCCCTCAAACCCCTGTTATAATTCTGAACTGTCTTCTTCTCCTCTGGGTCAGGCTGGGGAGGCGGTCTCCACCATTCCTCCTCGGCCCAGTCCCTGACACATATATTCATCTCTCTGTTCTCCATCTAGGCAGACAAGAGGTATTATTGCAATTCAAGCTCTCATTCTAGGCTAGAAAAAGCACCCAAGAAGAGCGCATAGCAGGAACATGCTAGGAACATGGCTTGGGGAGAGGGTATATGGCCCTGGTGGGAAGCATACTGAGATCCAGATAGAGAGACATGGAGCATCGCTGCATTTGATCGCTAGGCCAGTTTGCTCTCCTAAGCTTATACGAAGCAAAAGAATCAATCTTCACATTTCTTGAACCCACCGCAACCTTCTGCAGAGCTCATGGCATGAATAAACACGCATAGAACTTCACTGTGATTTCATGGAGTGTGGGGTTGTAGCTTCTTCCAAAAAGTTGCATTTTAAAAAGAAGACAAGAGAACGGCCAGGTTCACTGGTGGGATATGATGTTCAACATCTTTCTAGTCCTTCAGGAGGTCGCAACATCAAACGTTAGAAGAAGCAGAAAGGGAATGGAAGTATCTCCTTATCTGCTGTTTAAACTATGAATGAGATAATTTGAGATCTAGCATGTCGCAGCAAGTCATGACAGTGATTAAATTTGTGTATAGTTGTTATCGAACTCCACTGCATAATTCTCCCAACTTATCGCAAGGCTCAGATGTAATAACGTGGGTGCCAGAAAGATGTCTTGAACTGTGGATTAAGAGATGCTGTGATATGATTGATGCTGTTTGAACAAGGAAATGAACCTATATATTCACTTTGATCCATTATAAAAACATTAACTATAAACTGCCTGGAAACACCTCAGGCTTTTCAGTTGTAAGCAGTTGACCAATAAGAATGGCAAGAAATATGACTTATGTAGTTAATTATATTCTGGTGCTTTTTATTATTAATATTATTGAGAGGCCCAAACCTTGGCATCATCTTCAGTGCTGAGATTCTGAAGCCAGCAGCGACATTTTGAAGCAAGCCAAAAAGCAGCTGTAATGTTCCAGATCCATCCCCATATTCATGTGACGTGGTAAATCAAGCTTCAGGAATGTTTATTAAAAAACCAAAAAGTCCACGAGGATGTGCACTTCTTTTATATCAGCTCTCAAAAAGCTCAATAATTTTAAACATTTGCCTAATGAAATGCAAGATTTTACACTGGGGGTTTAAGAGGATTTAAAAATAGCCACAGTTTCTACCACGTAACTACAGAAGCCCAATGTAAGATTAAAATGAATAGTTGAAGGGTCTGGCTAAATGCGATCTCAGCAACCATGGTTTTGCCCCATTCAAGTAAAAAGGTAAAGGACCCCTGGACAGCTAAGTCTAGTCAAAGGCGACTATGGTGTTGCGGTGCTCATCTCGCTTTCAGGCCGAGGGAGCTGGCGTTTGTCCACAGACAGCTTTCCAGGTCATGTGCCAGCATGACTAAACCACTTCTGGTGCAATGGAACACCGTGATGGAAACCAGAGTGCACGGAAACACTGTTTATCTTCCCGCCACAGTGGTACCTATTTCTCTACTTGCACTGGCGTGCTTTTGAACTGCTAGGTTGGCAGGAGCTGGGACAGAGCAACAGGAGCTCACTCCGTCATGGGAATTCGAACCACCAACCTTCCGATCGGCAAGCCCAAGAGGCCCAGTGGTTTAGACCACAGCGCCACCTGCATCCCTTTCCATTCAAGTATAAAATAAGGGGTAGGCCAGCGAATATAACTGATATCAAAAGAAGGTTCCTTGAGCTCTGCTCTGCTCCCCCATTCTTCCTGTCCGGGGTGGCCCTGTCCTCTGCCTGCCCCTCAGAAGCAGATTCTCCTCCTTGCCCCCTCTCCAGCAGCCGCTACAAGCTGCCTAAAGGAGGAGACCGGCAGCAGTAGCCATGGAGAGGCCATGGAGAAGCAACTGGATTGGCTCAAGGTAACCCATTTTGCTACACGACCAAGTCCAGATTTGAACCCTGCTCCAACCATTACACCACACTGGTTTCAATCCCTTACCATTAGAAAGTACTATAAAAAAATATTTCAGGAAGGCATTTAAATGGGCCAACTGGAGCCCACTTTGCTTAATAGGAGGGTTAAAAAATGATTCCCCACCTCCCGCCCCAGTTGTGTTATTCTGATGCTGATGCACACAATATTTTGACTAGTTTTTACGACGCCATTTTATATGTATATTGCTTTTCGCTAGCTGCCTTCAGCATCGGTAAGGAGGGGGCCACTTTGATAAATAATCATCCGCGTTAGCTGCCCTGATAACCAGCCCACAATAAAGACTGTCCAGGAAATCCTCCCCCAAACGGAATGGCATAACTCGCAGCTTGCAAATGGGTTTAATTTAATACTACAAAGGCCAAGAATTCTAAATATTTCTCTGTCTTCATGCACAGACAGGCCCCATAGTTTGGCCCGGACCACATTCTATGGCATAATTGGCATGGCTGTAACAGACAAGGGTAGTATCAATTGCCTAAGAGTCTCCAGGAGCCCCGTGTGCTCATAGAAAGAGCTTTCTTCGTAAGTCATATGATATCGAACTGGGTTGGTTCCAGAGCTTATTTTGATATGGCACAACAGTGTGCCGTAAAACTGCTTTTGCAGGCCAGCCCCTGCCCTGCTTTGCCTTCCATCTTTTCCTCATTAGGCAGTCAAATACTTTCAGGAAGTTCACCCGATGCCATATTGGACATGTGCAATCCTCCTACGTGTTTTGAAATTATTTTAAAAATGTTTTAGGGGTGGTAGGGTAGGAGAAGAGGGGAAACTGAAGGGTCAGGCAGCTTCAAAAGGAGAGCGAGTTATCCTGCAATCTCCAAATTACCATGACTCTCTCCGTCGAGGAAATCAATTAATTTGTTTCCCAATGGCTTATTTATGTAACCCCCTTAACTACAGCATTGCCCTAGCACTTGTGCAATGTCGTGGGAAAATCTAAAGCTATTAAGCAAGTCAAATTCAACACTGCCTTGTACAGGCAGACAGTATATACAGTAAGCAAATGGATGGCATGTTAAGACACAGACGCATTTCCTCCCCTCCCCTTTCAAATCATGGCTTATTGAATCTAGTAAGAAGAGGGCAGGAATCTGTCCATAAGACCTTTTTGTGGAATTTCTAGCCATTTCTATCAGCGCTGGTATCTGCATTTCAAATCAGCATTCCATTTTGCCATTGTTTCCTGGGTTGACTCTGTCTTCTGGTTTAACTAAAATTCATTTCAGAATCCATATATTTTGATCACGATGCAAAAAAAAGCACATATTTGCATGATGATACCACCCCTGAATTTGATTTTCTTTTGATACTCTTTAATCATGCACACTTGCACGTTGAGTATATAACTCCAAAAAAGAAAAAGAAAAGGAATATGCCATGCGGCGGTGCAGTTACGTCAATATTTTTGCGCTTTTATATTGAAAACAATCCAATATGCTTGCACGCTCCTGCAGATTGGTAAACAGTAAGAAGAAGCAAAAGGAGACATGAACTGAAAACGAGGAAAGGCAAGCTTAATGCATGCTCAGAAGTTAGAACAAATTCTGGAAGTCAAAAGTGGAAAGTGCCATTCTACAAGCGCAATCAAGACAGTTGAAAACCCTAAATCAGGGCAACATCTAAGAAGCACAATTTTGTTGTCATCCCTGATTTCTACCGCCAACTAATAAATGTATGCTACTGCTGCTGGTTTCAGCCCAAAACAGTAGCAGATATATGAACCCTGAAATAACATAGAGGTCTCCAGTCAGTCAGGCCATCCTTCATAACACTCCATTCCATTCCCCCTGTTGTGATTTTCTCCTGTATGCAGAAGAGCAGGTCTGTAAAACTCCTCCAAGCTGAACATGGCTCACCACGTAAAAATGGAGGCCTGAATTAACATGGCACTCAGAACCGCTGGAATTTATAGTTGGCAGGGGAGTGTAGAAGGAAACCCAGCTAGCTATTTAGAAAATGACAATATCCTTTATCCCACACTGCATTTCAAGATGAGCTCTTCGTCAAGAGGATTTTCTTTTCAAATGAGTCCAAATTAGGCATAAAGGTAAAGGGACCCCTGACCATTAGGTCCAGTCGTGGACGACTCTGGGGTTGTGGCACTCATCTCGCTTTATTGGCTGAGGGAGCCGGCGTACAGCTTCCAGGTCATGTGGCCAGCATGACTAAGCTGCTTCTGGCGAACCAGAGCAGCGTATGGAAACGCCGTTTACCTTCCCGCTGGAGCGGTACCTATTTATCTAATTACATTTTGACGCACTTTCAAACTGCTAGGTTGGCAGGAGCAGGGACTGAGCAATGGGAGCTCACTCCATCGCGGGGATTCGAACCACCAACCTTCTGATCGGCAAGCCCTAGGCTCTGTGGTTTAACCCACAGCGCCACCTGCATCCCAAATTAGGCATAGGAGATCCCTATGTTAAAAGTAAAGGGATCCCTGACCATTAGGTCCATGACTCTGGATGACTCTGGGGTTGCAGCGCTCATCTTGCTTTACTGGCTGAGGGAGCCAGCATACAGCTTCCGGGTCATGTAGCCAGCATGACTAAACCACTTCTGGCGAACCAGAGCAGCACACGGAAACGCCGTTTACCTTCCCGCCGGAGCGGTACCTATTTATCTACTTGCACTTTGTGCTTTTGAACTGCTAAGTTGGCAGGAGCGGGGACCGAGCAACAGGAGCTCACCCCATTGCAGAGATTTAAACTGCTGACCTTCTGATCGGCAAGCCCTAGGCTCTGTGATTTAACCCACAGAGCGACCCCTATTCCTCTTATAATGTCACAATTCCCAGAGTTACCCTGGAAAGATGGATTGATTGTTAGACAACTCTGGCACTGTAGGTCTATGAGGGAAGTAGGGGGTCTCCTAGCAACTCTTAGCATCCTTAGAAAACTGCCGTTCCCAGGATTCTTTGAGAGGAGCCATGACTATTTAAAGAGATATGATACTGCTTTCAATGTATAGTGCAGAATGGAGTCTCAATTCCTTGCAAAAGTCCTGCCCTGCAAGCTTCCATCACCTGCAGTTGAGAATGAGGTAGTAACTGTTAGAACTGTTTGGGCTTTATAACTGGGACCCATATGGAATCGGACTTGGCCTTGGAAAATGTAAATTCATGTCAGCATAATCCTTTGTGTCTAATATCTTATGTAACCTCTCAAATAATGGCACTGAGCCAGCAGGCAGCAGAACAGGATAGACTTGTCCTATGGGGGATGCTGCCATAGGATTGTGGGTGCAAGCTAGTTTGCATCCTCTCCCAACTGTGCCTGTCAGGGTGGCTTATGAGCGAAACATGAAGCAACACTGTTGATCGCGATAACATCTATTTTAGCCAAAGGGCTTTTGCCAATAACAGATTAGAGATGAAAGCTGTATTTTGGGCACTCAGTTATTGGAAAACGTGTACTGTGCTTCAAACACTAGGCTATGTAACAAGATAAAGATCTGAACAGTGAAGACAGTAGCACGATTCCTTTTCCAAATCTAGATAAGAAAGTAGCACAGTTCCTGCTCTACATAGAACCCAAATGTTGTTATGAGTTTGGGGTCATAGGCTGTATGCAGAGACCCCTCTAATCCTGGAGCCAGCGAGTGTTAAAAGCGAACCAAGCCTTCTAATTCTGGGAAATTGTCCAGCTATCTTCCCAGTGTGAGACATCAAATGGGTGGGCCCCGCTCCGTCAATGGACAAAGCCAGGTTTTGGAGTAGAGGTGGCAGTGATGTGAGCTAAAACTCAAGCAGCAAGTTGGAGAGGGAGTCAGTTTGAGAGCAACGTGTGATTGAATTCAAGGCTGCCGCTGTGGGAGAAACAATACCCTTTGTGGGTGCTGATGCTGTGAGCAGGGCCTTGCAGAGCCAGGCAGAGGCCCGGGCCAGGTAAATAATGTGCCCCCTCTTTTTTTACCCTGGGGATAACTGAAGTCTTATAAATAAGTAAGTATATAAATAATTTTCACAAAAGTTATGCTGACAAATAATTTTATTTCAAGGTTTGAACTGTATCTGCATATAAAGACAAAATGGAAAATATAGATAAATATGCTGACCGAGGCCCCCTTTGGAATCAGAGGCCCGGGCCAAGTGGTCCATATGGCCCCCCCTCTGTCTGGGCCTGGCTGTGAGCCCCTCCATCGTAGCCTCGGTTTGTAGATATGTGTAAATAAACCATATGTCATAAAGACACTACAGTCTCCGCTGTGCCACATTTCCAAAAGGAAACACAAACCCTGAATAAGTGCCTGCACCCCCTGGAATCTTGCACCATTTAGAGATTGGGATGGGGTGCAACAATATATATGGGGGATGGACTGGGAAAATATCAACAGAAACTTTCATTTTGATTTTTAAAAGAAGCATAGCATTTATATCAGGACCCAGTTTGGCCACTGTGAGATGGGCCAGCAGGACTCCTCTTACAGGTTTACAAGGCTGGCTAGCACTTTTAGCAGTTTTACATGGTTCAGGCTTTAATACTGTAGAAGGAAGGGCTTAAGAAGAGAACAGGGAGGAACAGAGACAAGCTTTGGCCAGCCATACAGAGCTTTGATTTGGTTACTATTTTCATGCTTCTTTTGTGAAAACTAGGAATGGGTGAAGACAACTCCCCACTTTGAAACTTTCTTCCTGGGGAGGGTGAGGGGAGAATTCAGGGACATTTGGGTTGGGGTATGGATATCTGGTTACTTTGGATAAGGGGGATAGTTGTGGTGCTTGGTTACAATTAAGAGGTAATGAGGCTTCCTTCCTTCTATAAAAGAAGTCATGGTTTGGCTGCTGTACTTGGTGCAAAGATTTGCTGATTCCTTTGAAAATATTTCAAGGAATGACCCCTGGAAGAGGGGCGTGTCAACTTTTTCAACTTTCAAATTCCAAAAATGAGGGGTGCCAAAAAGTTGTAACATGACTTGGGAATTCAAAAGGTATTTTGCTTAAATTACTGTATCTGCTCGAGTATAAGCTGACTTTTTCAGCACATTTTTTATGCTAAAAAAGCCCCCGTCGGCTTATACTCAAGTGAGGGTCCTTTCGGGCTGCTTCTTCCTCTTCCTCCATCTTTGCCGCTGTCAGCGGTAGCGGAGGAGGAAGGAGCAACCCAAAAGCAGCCCTTTTGGGCTGCTTGTTCTTCCTCCGCCACTGCCGCTGCCACCAGGTTTGTGGTGTGGTGAACCGGCTTATACTTGAGTCAATAAGTTTTCCCAGTTTTTTTGTGGTAAAATTAGGTGCCTTGGCTTATATTCGGATCGCCTTATACTCGAGTATATACGGTAATATAATTAATAGTTTTGCTTGGTAGGCAAAATGTTTGCAAAATTGCATAGAAATAATTTAAAACGATTGCCAGGTACTTGCAGTTATATTATTATTATTTATTATTATTTAGCATTACCTGACATTTTCATTATTATTATTTTTGCTTTCCAAAAACAATTTAGGTGCTTCTACGTCAAATGTAGACTTTCTAAACTAAATGTTGTCCAATCACAAAAAAACCAACAATAGCAGATCTGAATGCCTCACACCCAAAAACATAAGACCGCTCACTGAAGAAATTTGCCAAAATTATGTTTCGTTCCCTGGAATGACACCAACCCTGGAAGATCATTTTCAAAGGGATAGGCTGATGTGATCAGCAGTTTAGCTGACTATCTGGGCTATGGCTTTACAAAAACAAATAAAGCAAATCTCTGGCCATGTTGTAAACAACGAGCATAATGTCAGGAATGAGCCAGCTCCAAGCAAAAGTTTGCAGCTAACTGCAGAAAACAGCCAGGAACAGAGAGGCTGCTTTGATGTTAGTCAGACAGAGGAAAGCCGGCAGCTGCATACTCCAGCTTCTCCTGACCTTGACGTGCAACCTTATAAGACAGGAACGGAGAGCAGGCTAAAATGCAGCCAAAGCTCGCTGGAAGCACAGACATGTGGGAAAGAGTTAAGAGACAGTCTCTCAGAGAATGGGGAAGAGGCGGGAACTGACCCACTCAGTCTGAGGACTCGGAGAATGGGAGGGTTGCAAGATAGGAAGCAAAACAAAAGACGTAAGACACAAAAGTTCAGTTGCTTCCGGTCACGCCGGAAGCAGTCTTCAGAAGGGACATATTGAATAATGGTGCTGGAGGCTTTGTTAGAGCCGTTCGGAGCTATCTGTTTCTTTTTGCAATAAATCCTCCTTTTTAATTAGCTACGCTTACTGTGTGGCGCTGTGGGTTAAACCACAGAGCCTAGGACTTGCCGATCAGAAGGTCGGCAGTTCGAATCCCTGCAACGGGGTGAGCTCCCATTGCTCAGTCCCTGCTCCTGCCAACCTGGCAGTTCGAAAGCACGTCAAGTGCAAGTAGATAAATAGGCACTGCTCCGGCGGGAAGGTAAACGGCATTTCCGTGTGCTGCTCTGGTTCGCCAGAAGTGGCTCAGTCATGCTGGCCACATGACCCGGAAGCTGTATGCTGGCTCCCTCGGCCAATAAAGTGAGATAAGTGCCGCAACCCCAGAGTCGGTCAGGAGTCCCTTTACCTTTACTGTGTTATCAAGCTGAGAACCTGGACTCCTGACACATAAGCTAGTTTCTGGGGGGAACTCAAAGATACGCAGTACCAGCACCATGTTTTCCATAAGAAAAGCACCGAGTAAATTCTCACCTGTATTTTCATAGAATTGTAGACTTGGAAGGGATCTCAAAGGTCATCTGGTCCCTGCAATTCAGGAATCTTATCCCACTCCACATCAGAATAACCTCAGGCCAACTGACACAATAATACCTGTATGTTTTCGCCCATATGGCAAATAAGAGGACGTCTGTATGAGCAGAAGAGCAACATAGAGGGAAAGAATTCATGGAATTATAGAACTGTAGGGTTGGAAGCTACCAAGATGGGTTCTCGAGTCCAACCTCCCGCAATTCTTTTGGGAATTATAGGGACAGAACTACCTAAAGTGTATTGAAACTTATTAACGTATGCTACTATGGTGGCTACTCGCCTCAAAAAGGAAAGAAGCAGGAGTCCCAGCAAAGGTTTGACATTACAGGAGCCAGAAGCTAGTACAAAAAGAGTACAATTAATACAAGAATTTGGTCAAGTAGCAGGTTTTAAATTAAACAAGATGAAAACCAAGGTATTAGAGAAAAATCTTACAGAGATAGAGAAGGAGAGGTTTCAGAAAGAGACAGGATTAACAATTGTTAATAAAGTGAAATATCTAGGGGTGAATATGACTGCCAAAAATGTGAATCTGTTTAAAGATAATTATGAAAAATGTTGGTCAGAGGTGAAGAAGGATTTAGAAATATGGTCAAAATTGAAGTTATCATTGTTGGGCCGAATTGCAGCGATAAAGATGAATGTATTGCCTAGAATGTTGTTTTTGTTTCAAACATTACAAATTGTGGATAAAATGGACTGTTTCAAGAGGTGGCAAAGAGATATTTCTAAATTTATCTGGCAGGGCAAAAAGCCCAGAATAAAATTTAAGATACTAACAGACGCAAAGGAAAGAGGGGGATTTGCCCTGCCAGATCTTAAACTTTACTATGAATCAGCCGCTTTTTGTTGGCTGAAAGATTGGCTACTTCTTGAAAATGTGGACATTTTAGATTTAGAAGGTTTCGATAATGTGTTTGGGTGGCATGCATATTTATGGTATGACAAAGTCAAAGCGCATAAGGCCTTCAAGAATCATATTGTCAGGAAAGCATTATTTAATGTTTGGGTGAGATATAAGGATTTGTTGGAAAGTAAAACACCAAGGTGGCTGTCACCAATGGAGGCTAAGGCTTTGAAAAAAACAAATATGGAGACAAACTGGCCAAAATACTGCGAAATTTTAGAACAAGTCGGAGATAAATTAAAACTGCAGAGCTTTGACAAATTAAGAACTAAAGTTCGAGATTGGCTGCATTATTATCAAATAAGGGAGGTTTTTAACTTAGATAAAAAGATAGGTTTCCAGGAGGAAAAATCTAAACTGGAAACGGAATTGTTAGAACCTAAAACCAAAAATCTGTCAAGAATGTATAATCTGCTGTTGAAATGGAATACACAGGATGAAATGGTTAAATCTGCTATGATTAAATGGGCGCAAGATGTGGGGCATAATATTATGTTTGCTGACTGGGAACGGTTATGGACCACAGGTATGAAATTTACGGCCTGTAACGCCTTAAGAGAAAATATAATGAAAATGATTTACAGGTGGTACTTAACCCCAGTCAAGCTAGCAAAAATTTATCATCTGCCTGATAATAAATGTTGGAAATGTAAAGAAAATGAAGGTACTTTTTTTCACCTTTGGTGGACGTGCCCAAAGATCAAGGCCTTCTGGGAAATGATATATAATGAACTAAAAAGGTATTGAAATATACTTTCTTGAAGAAACCAGAGGCTTTCCTCTTGGGCATGGTCGGCCAATTGGTGCGAAGGGAAGACAGGAATTTCTTTATGTATGCGACAGCAGCGGCAAGAATACTTATTGGGAAATACTGGAAGACACAAGAATTGCCTACCCGAGAAGAATGGCAGAGAAAAGTGATAGACTACATGGAACTGGCTGAGATGACCGGTAGAATTCGAGATCAAGAAGAAGGGTCGATGGAAGAAGATTGGAAAAAATTTAAAATATATCTTCAGAAATACTGTAATATAAAAGAATGTTAGAAAAGGTTGGAGAAGAATATTCGATCGTATTGGCAGACAGAGTATAATGGAATAAGTAAATATGAAGTGTAAAATAAAGACAGACGAGAATTAAATACTTTCGAATGTTAAAATAAGTAAATGGAAAGAAGGTTAGAAGGATTTGCTGGAGATACGATTCAAATTAGAATACAAAGCAGAGAAGTGAGAGGAAGTCACGGAAATAAGTAAATGGGAAAACGGTTCTAATGGTTTAAATTTGATTTTTTGTTACTTTTGTATTGTGATTTTTTGTCTTTTGTATTTTTCTTTGTACCGTGTGCTTTTTTGTAGGATGTATGTGATTTGTTTTTCTTTTTTTTTCTTTTTTCTTTTTCTGTAATCTTAAAATTGGAATAAATATTCTTTTTTTTTAAAAAAAAGGAGTCCCAGCAAAGGAAGAATGGATACAAAAACATATGGAATACGGAGAAATGGCAGGACTTACCAGAAGAATAAGAAATCAAGATAACAACCTTTCATTAAAGAATGGAAACAGTTTATTGAATATTTACAGATAAATTGCAAACAGATAAAAACATTGGCAGGATTGTTGTAATAACCTGCAATTTCGTAAGCGTATATATTTAAAGAAGATGAATAAATGAGAAAGTCAAGTTAATTTGGATATGCAGAAGATATTAAAAAATAAATTTAAGGAACTGCAGAAAGACGGGGAAGGAAGTCCAGCCTTGCAATGTTAAAATGATTGTAAAATTAATGAAATGTATAAATTTGAGAAGTATAAATAAAAATAAAAATAACTACGACCCCCCCCAAAAGGTCCAGCCTCCTGCAATGCTGGAATCTTTTGCCCAACATGGGGTTCGAACCCTGGGATTAAGAGTCTCATGCTCAACCGACTGAGCTGATTCTCTCAGCTGTGCGACCTGAATCCCCACCCTGCCCCACAACTGCTATTGACATTTTCTAAAAATGCAGCAGATCCGGTTCCCCAGATCTGCCCAACCTTGTCTAGTTTGGCTCTACGGGTTAGTACCGTGGAAGCCGGTGTCAAATATAGAGGCAAAATCAATTGCCGGCGTTGACCATTTTGTGACTATGAAACAACACAAATGTGTCACAGCTACACACGTCCTTCCCTTTGGTCTTTTCCAGCTCATTACCCTTCCAGCAAAGGTTGGACTTGAACCTTCGGCCTGCTTCTAAACACACACACACACACACACACACACACACACACACACCGAACTTGCAATGAAGATTATTGCAATGAATAGTAACACTAGAGGAGGCCCTATCTTCCTCTTAAATAAGCCATTCAATTTGTTATGAATGGCCGAGTGTGGGTCCTTTTTTCGCTTGTGGGGACTCGGGTTTCAGCGCTCCAAAGACGGTGAATAGCTGGGATGACGAAGCCAAGGCATGAGAAGAAAGGGGACCTGGGAAGAGAGAAGAAAGCCGACAGAGACAAGCAATTACAAGGTGTATTACGTACACCAGGCGGGCCTACAAAGAGGCAAGAAGTAATTGTCTCTCCGTGGCCCCCAATTAAAGGTAAAAGAGGAAGGGAAATGAATATTTGCCCTTCATGGATTTGGAAAGCTGTTGCTGGAGAGAATGAAAGGGGCTTTTAGAACGCGGCAGATGCCGTAGGCCCCCAAAGCCCTGGTACTTGATACTACAATCTGGCCTCTTAGTGGTTTTTGGCCATCTTTTGAGAATTGCAGGAGAGGTATTCAAGGTGAAGACAATAACAAACGTCAAAGAGAGGGGGAAAATTGAGTTTAAAAGACTGCTGAGTGACGTGCAGGCCAGATCAAAGGGAGAAATTTACCTGGTATTTATAATTACAATGCTAATAGGGGGTTAATAATAGAAGTCAAAGCTGAAGGAGTGATGTCTCCACATCTTTTTTTATTTTTTTATTTTATTAATGTAGTGCAAAAAGCCAACCATTCATTCGGTTAAGCATCCATTCAAGTTTCCCTCTCTGCTGTTCATCAATGAAAGGGAAGTTTCTTTGTAGGTTGGAGGCGCATTCCCTTGCTTTCAAAACATAGATAGTGTGTACTTTGGAGGGATAACACAAGATGGGGCTCAAGTGCAATCATTTGAGACTTGGGTGATTTAAAACAAAAACCAAAACCTCTTGCTGCGTGCATAGATTTGTCCCATCAAAACACACAATTATTTTAATTCTGCAACAGCCACAACGCTTGCGGTTCATTTTGTTGACAGTATTTCAGAACAGATTTGTTTGCTTTAAAATGCCAGCTTGTTCTCGATTTGGATAAATTGACCTGCAACTTTTTAAACATGTTTAAAACCCAGGCAAAACGTTGATTGCAGGCTACATGCAATTTTCAATAGACTCTGACAGCTGAGCCACGAATTTCCCTGTTTTGGATGGCTCAACACTTGCCTTTCCAACCCCAGGGATGCCAGAAGGATTTTCTGGGCCTAACACATTGCCTGTGGATCGGGGCCCCTGTCTTCTCCCTCTTCCATTTACTGACAAAAGCTGCTGTCTATGTACATATATTAATTTAACTTCAGCGTTTCATGGTCTTAGGGTATTTTCTGTGTGATGTTATTTATCAGGTTTGGCGAACTTCTGGTGAGTTTGGGAATTTTGCCGTAAACATCAGAACTACAAAATGCTGTAGTTAATGCAAGGACACTGTTTTTCTGGCTTTCTTTGCATGGTCTGAGAAGCCCGCTCACCCTTTTACGTGTGGCGGCATTGCGGGACAGAGGAGGCTTCACTGGGGCCACGACAGAAGAATTCAACCTGGCTGGGCCCTTCCTGATGGGTTCCTTATCAGGAACCGAATCCTAGCCTGCACCCTGATTTGGCAAATGGGGATGCAGGCCGGGACCTGGGCTGTGTGGGGGGCGGAGCCAATGGAGCCAGCAGTGGGCTTCCCTTGGATCCGTCCCTCGCTCTTTTAAGCAGCCAGCACCCTGAGTTTTGCCGGTTTCTTCCTGTGCCCGGTTTTCCCCACCCTTCCACCCTCGATATAAGCTGATAGTCAATGACTTTGCTGTGGCTACGTTGTTGCCGTCCTTTATGGGGCCAGGTAGGAATTTGCCCACCGGGCTAATTGGCTCTGACCCGGTGGTTTTGCCTACCTCATAGCAATTGTCACAGCTGGTTGGGCATTGGGGCAATCCTTTGTTTTGGATGGAGGGGAGGTTTCAGTCTCTGCCTGCCTCTCCAAACACTGGGGTATCCCAATAAAGGGATCTGGCGGGAGTGGCCATGTCCACGTGCCCAAGGGGGCCAGGGCTGAAGGCACTCCCCCAGATGGCAGTCCCTGTGGGGGTCACCCTATTGGATGTGAGTCTTAGGAACCCCCATCTGGATTGACCACGCATCACTTCTGGTGGGCAGGCTGGAAGTATTTGCCGTATTTTTCGCTCTATAAGATGCACCCAACCATAAGACACACCTAGTTTTTAGAGGAGGAAAACAAGAAACAAGAAAGCAATGCAAAGCCTCTTGAGTGAAGAGGCAGGAGTGCTCCCGCTGCGCTCAAGAGGCTTTGCGTGGGTATCCCCGAAGCCAGAAGAGCAGGAGGGATCTGTGCGCACTGATCCATCTTGCTCTTCTGGTTTCGGGGATAGCCACGCGCAGCCTCTTCAGGGCAGCGGGATGAAGGTTCCCCACTGCCCTGAAGAGGCTGCGCGCGGCTAAGCCAGAAGCTAGAACAGTGAGAGGGAGCGCTGTGCAGCGATCCCTTTCACTGTTCTGGCCTCTGGGATAGCTGTGCAGCCTGCATTCACTCCATAAGACGCACACACATTTCCCCTTACTTTTTAGGAGGGAAAAAGTGTGTCTTATAGAGCGAAAAATACGGTAGATTGCCGCATGCCCAAGCCAAACCCCATTCATCTATATTTAATAAAGTTGTGGCCTGTTTTGACCCAAAACCAGTCTCTTTGGTCTCTCATTATACGGGTTGAGGTATGAGAAGTCCGATGCCTGGTCCTGCAATGACTTCACATAGGAACATGCTGGATCAAGCCAAAAGCCCATCTGGTATGGCATCTTGTTCTCAAAGTGGCCAGCCAGATATCTCTGTGCCATCTGCAAGCAGGACCTCAGTGCAACAACACTTCTCCCCACTTGAGCTTCCAGTACTGGAGGAAGTAAACAGCCCTTATGGCCAATAGCCATTGATAGCCATTCCCGCCATTATTCTGTCTAATCCCCTTTTAAAGCCATCCAGGTTGGGGGCCATCACTACAATTTATGGGAATTAATTCCGTAATTTAACTATGTTGAGTATGAGCAACCTTGCACCCGGCCCCAGCCTGTAGGGGGCAGGTTTGAGACGAACAGATATTCGGGGGGAATTCACATTGTGGTTTTCCACTATACCCCAAGCTCTACTCCTTCCTCTTGTGAAACTAGCCATGAGAAACTAGCTCCACCCTGTAGGCTTAGACTCTGAAGCCATCCTTGTAAATATGAAGAAACTGTAAACAAGCAACTTTTTTAAACCAATGGTTCCTCTGTGTGTTTTATTTACTTTTTTTAAAGCATTGTTAGTAATGTGTAAATTGGTGGGACTAGGTTGCTCCAGCTTCTCGACTTTTTAACTCTGCTATATAAACCACTTTTCTTTTTTAAAACCCAAGAAACTATGCACTGTGCAAAGAAATACTTTCTTTTGTCTTTCCTGAATCCCTCACCAAACAAACCCATCAACCAAAAAAGCTCACACCCTGAAGGCTTGCAAGCCTATGGCCACTTACTTGGAAGTAAGCCCCATTGATCATGGTAGAACTTGCCTCCGAGTATACATGCACAGGATTGCACTGCAAATCTACTTTTTTTTGAAAAATGGCTGGTGTGTGGCTGATGCGCATTGTTTACTTTTGACAGCTGATGCTCAGTCCTTGCCTTTCCCAGAGGCTAGGAAACTAAACAAACTTGATTCCCAAGAGGACCTCCTCCAGAAAAGGTTGTCCGTGTACAATTGCCTTGACACAAATATGATTGTTCCTTGACTCTCACATGCTTTTCTTGGCATTCATGAACAAAGAGTAAAATTGCCCAAGAAAAAATATCACTCAAACTTTTGTTCAGCTGCTTAGATGTTCCATTTCCTTTCATCTCATTATACCTTATACACAACGCAAGTTTTATCTGACATTCTTAAACTGGTGATTCCATTAAACCTTCCTTCCATTGCTGCATTTGGTGCTCAGAAGTTTATCACCACCCAAGTAAAGTGATAATTGCTTGCTAACAGTCAAATTGTACAGGCATAACACATACATTTGCATTTTGTCTCCTGGACCAGCATATTGAATCTGCATTCTAGCCCATTTTCTGGTGTCTATGTGGCTCCCCTCCTCTTCTCTGCAGAACTTCCATGATCCTCCAACAATCTACTTTTATATTTGGGGGGGGAAAGTTTGTCTCTGTCCTCTCTATAGGATCAGCTACCTCTTGAGACATCATCTCCAAACTCAGCCCAGAAGTCATTGAAAGTTGGAGCAGCAGTCTTTGTTGACATTGGGACACCAGCTGCCACTGTGAAACAAGATGGTGGCTTGTGAAACCGAAATATGGCTTTGGTGTGACTTTACCCAGTTTGGCATGATGGTTACAAACAAGGTTTTCCAAGGTGGAGGAGGTGGTTTTACCGAGATTTTTATGCTGCTGTAAATTATCCCAGAACAGGATAGGAACATTCTCCCCATTAGTAAATTACCAATAAATACAACCTGTTGGAGACTCTACTTTCACTATGTCTCTAACTTCACAATGTTTTACATTCACTACTTTATTGATACTTATGGCAGCCCTGCACAGTAGGCTTAGTTTATCCTTATATTACCAAGAAGGTAAGACCAGTACAAAGAGGTAAGGCTGATGTTGCAATGCATTTACAGTACTTGTACAATAACC